CAGGCTTGATTCCATCAGTTTGGCAATTTACTATATTATTATACAAATACTCTTGATAACCACCTTTTCTGTTATCTCTCTCCTTTACACAAAAAAAAAAAAAAAAAAAAAGAAGTCCTAAGACTATTCCTTCCTTGTCTCCCAACAGCAGGATAATCTTATCTAGTAGAACCAGCAATTCTTGGGCTTTCTAGTCTCAAGACAACTTTACACTCTTGCAAATGATAGAGAATCCCAAACAGCTTTTGTTTATGGGGGATATATACACAGATATCTGCCAAAAAGAAATTAAAATTAAAAAATCTTTAAAATATCTATTAATTCATTTTAAACAAAAATCCATGTTAAGATAAAGAACATTTTAACAAAAAAATAACATTTTTCTGGAATAAAAAGGAAATTTTAATGAGAAGCGCTCACTGTTTTTCTTTTCATTTTTTAATCAAAATATTTTAAAGATGAGGTCTTGCTCTATCATCTAGGTTGGAGTACAGTGGCATGATCATAAGTCACAGAGTGCAGACTCAAACTCAAGTCATCATCCTACCTCAGCCACCCAAGTATTATAGCGTGTACTACACATGTTTTTACATTTTTACAAATATTTTAAATTGCATTTGTTGCAATATGTTATTTGGTTTACATATATGAGGAAAATTAATTATCTCAAAGATACATACTTGGAAAAGTGTTTTGTTTTTTTTTTGAGACAGAGTCTCGCTTTGTTGCCCAGGCTAGAGTGAGTGCCATGGCGTCAGCCTAGCTCACAGCAACCTCAAACTCCTGGGCTCAAGTGATCCTTCTGCCTCAGCCTCCCAAGTAGCTGGGACTACAGGCATGCGCCACCATGTCCAGCTAACTTTTTGTATATATATTAGTTGGGCAATTGATTTCTTTCTATTAATAGTAGAGACGGGGTCTCACTCTTACTCAGGCTGGTTTTGAACTCCTGACCTCGAGCAATCCGCCCGCCTAGGCCTCCCAGAGTGCGATTACAGGAGTGAGCCACCACTCCCGGCCCGAAAAGAGTATTTTAATAGCCTATTCAATTGTGTATATTCCTTCTTTGATACTACAATAAAACTCCATAGTATAGAGTTTAATTGCAATGTAGAAACAAACCGTGTATTTGAAGCTGTATTCTTTCGAATTCAGCAATTTTTAAAATTTATTTTCCCTTGTTTTCCTGTCTTTTACCAAATGTCACTTTTTCATCTTTTGGGTTTTTTTTTTTATTGTTCATGCAGCTTTCCCTGTTAGGTCTCCCTGTCTTTCCCTCTCTCTCCTATTCCTCTCCTTTACTGCCACCACACAGACCCTCCCGCCTTCCATCCTTCTACCCAGAGTAGTCCTGTTAATTTCTTCCCTCATATTCTTCCTCATCTTTTGCCCCACTATGGTCTTCCCTGCAAAACTGATGGGCTTGCCACTCTTTCCCCTCAGCTCTGCCCTTTGGCCTTTCTTATATCCAAGTTTCTTTTCATGTTATATTCTTCTTTGAAGGCCTGATTCAAATGCTTTTCTGTACATGAAATATTTCTCATATATCCTAAATGCCAACTTAGGAGGAGTTTTTCCCCTAAGACTATGTATGCAGACTGTGATATCAACCAAATTGTGACTCCTCAGGTAACTAAGCATAGATAGGAATATTGTAGAAGGTATTCTGCAACTGGGTCAGTTGAATTTATGTGACTTTACATTACTCTTAATGTCCTGTTCTTAATTCATCCACAAAATGGACAAAAATAGTCAAGTATGGGTTTCAGACTATATACTTGTTCTTCAGACTTGTTTTCTAGCGGCAGACATTTTTCTAAATGAAATCTTACTCTGAATCTGAGCTCCAGTATACAATACAGATAAAAGGTGAGCTTTCCCACCTGAAGCAGGAGTCAGGTCTTAAGTACACGCTCTTGACACCCCTGAAAACAAAACTCCAGCTCTTATTTTAAGAGCCCGCTGTAGAGAATTATTGAGAAAGGGAAGAAATTGTATATGGAAATTGTCACAAAGGTATGTTGTTAGTAGGATTTTAAGAACTAAAAGAAGCAGGCGGGGCGTGGTGGTGCCTTTAATCCTAGCACTCTGGGAGGCCGAGGTGGGTGGACTGCTCAAGGTCAGGAATTGGAAACCAGCCTGAGCAAGAGCAAGAGCGAGATTCTTGTCTCTACTATAAATAGAAAGAAATTAATTGGCCAACTAATATATATAGAAAAAATCAGCTGGGCATGGTAGCGCATGCCTGTAGTCCCAGCTACTTGGGAGGCTGAGGCAGAAGGATGGCTTGAGCCCAGGAGTTGGAGGTTGCTGTGAGCGAGGCTGACGCCACGGCACTCACTCTAGCCTGGGCAACAGGGTGAGACTCTGTCTCAAAAAAAGAAAAAGAAACAAAGTGAGAACAAGATGAACTCAGACATATACTTTGCTAAGTCTTTACTCCTCAATTCCTCTTTAGGATAAAACTGGGACTTACATGTGTAAGTATAGTGTGTTTGAAGCATCCTCATTTCTGGCAGAAGATAAGGCGTATGTTGTATTCCCTAAATATGAGTCTTTCTTCCCTGAAATACCTTATCTAGTATGTGCAACAATGAGGGTTTCAGAATCAGATACATAAATTATGAATCACTTTGAGTACAAAAATCTTTTAAGAAGTGAAAATTCATTGTCATTGTGATATACAATTAACCCAGTGTCTCAGAATTTGGATGTGGAGGAGAGAACTTACAGTGAAATTTTGGTTACAAATCAAATAAAAGTCAAAGATAATACTGTGTTGGTGCAGATATTATTTATATCTTGAAATATCACTTAATAGTCATTACTACTACTAGATCTTATTTATGCATTACAAGGAAACATATATATCTATATCTCTTATTTTGCTCCAACATTTTGTTAATTATATCTTAATGTAGTCGATGTCCTTATTATCTTATATATGAAGTTTATTCATGTATAGATAGTATTCTGGATAAGGCCTGTAGGTGTTACAAGAGTGCCAAACACTTTGCTTAGGGTATAGAATCACATATATAGATAAGTGTCTTATCATAAATTTTTTTTTCTTTTTGGCAGCAAAATAAATGTACACCTATCTTGTTGAAAATAACAAAATTGTGAAAAGTTAGTAATTTGCAAAAAAGGGAAGGAACTAACCATATGGAGACACTAATTATGTATCATTAACGGCTAGGTGATTTATTAGTTAGGTGAGTTCTCAGACAGATGTGATTATTATTTATTATAGAAAATACCTCACTATTGAGGAAATTAAAGTTCAACAATGAAAGTGAATTCTCCAAGGTCATACTGTCTTACGGCTAGAATTCCAGCCTGAATCTGACATCAGTTAAAGCTTGTTCTCTTTATACTCTGTTCCTTGTGCGTCATTAATATACTTTTTTGTGCAGTATGTTGTCTTCTAGTGAAGGAAATGAAAATGTATATGTGTGTGGATGTACGCATACATGAATTTTATAGTTTTGCCTCTCATCTCGTTGCCTTAACATAATTTTGCTAGTAAGGTCTTGTTTATTAGCTGTGAATCTAAAAAACCTTAGGTTTGGGGTGGAGGTTTCAGGAACACTGAAGAGGGAATACTCTTGCAGAAAAGTCTTTCTGAGTAACTAAATTACTAAGCCCATTGCTGGGAGATAAATAATTGTTAGGAGCTGCTGAGCAAAAAGCTATTTCTGCTGGGTTTTTATACGCCTTATGGTCTGAGTGCCAGATTTTTTGATTCCCACAGGAGGCAGCCTTCTGTGCTGTGATTCTTGCCCTGCTGCTTTTCATCGTGAATGTCTGAACATTGATATCCCTGAAGGAAACTGGTATTGCAATGATTGTAAGGCAGGAAAAAAGCCACACTACAGAGAGATTGTCTGGGTAAAAGTTGGGCGATACAGGTAAGTAAAACGGCAGTCATTTTTTTTTCACCATCCTGCTTCTCAGGAACTGTCAAGGTTTTTACCTTTTTATTTAATGATCTTCCTGATTAGTCATGGTACCCCTCCCCCTCCTCTCATTAAGTTTTCCTTATAAACCACAAAACCTAACTTTCTGATTTGTAATCATAGGAATAATACATGTTCTCTTTAGAATATTTATTAATGAAAACAAACCCATAATCTCACAAAAAAGATACATTTCAGGAAATTTATTTGCAAACAGGCCAACATGCCCCCAGCAAAATAATTGTCCTTAGGGTTTACACCCAGTTTTGTATATTTTGTTTTTTAAATTATTGAACACAGAATGTACAAAGAATATAACATGCATGATTTTAAGGAAAAACCTCCCAAAAGAAAATGTCATTGTTAGTATTTTTGACTCTCTCTATGCCCTATCTGATTCCATTCTCTCCCCACCCCCATTGCTACCCACTGTACTAAATTTTCAGTTTTTTATTCTTTTGCCTTGCTGTTAGTGTTTACCACATGTATAATGTTTTGTTTTGCATGTTTTAGATCTTTATATAAAGAAAGTATTATTGATATATTTTCCTGCAACTTAACTTCATTCATTCACTTTTATGCCCTGAGAGTCATCATAGTTAGCATAGTGCGTTAGTTCAGTCATAGTTCACTGTTCTCACACGCTCCTTTATATAATCACACTATGTTGTGTAGTTCATGTGTCCATTTTCCTGTTTTTGTTTGTTTTTTTTTTAAACAGAGTCTCACTCTATTGCCCGGGCTAGAGTGCTCTGTGGTGTCAGCCTAGCTCACAGCAACCTCCAACTCTTGGGCTCAAGCGATCCTCCTGCCTCTCAGCCTCCCGAGTAGCTGGGACTACAGGCATGCACCACCATGCCCGGCTAATTTCATTTTCCTGTTTGAACTATGAACATTTTGTCGGTCTTTCTTGGTTTACATACACAGGAGCTTCTCTAGGACATTCTCCAGAGCAAAATAGATCGGTACGGGGTGCAGGCTTCCAGCTCTAATAGCTGATGCCAAATTGTCTCCCTTAAAGTGATCGTATTATACTAACTTACTTATTTTTTTTCTTTCATTTCTTAGTATCATTTTTTAGTACTCCTAGTAATTTTTAATACTCTGAGTAATTGAGTAAGTGTAATTATTGAAAGCTTCCTTTTTAAAGACCAAATTGTCTTTCATTGTCTAGTGGTACCATGGCTACCACTATCAGTCCCTTGATTTAAAGTTTTTTATTCTTAAAGATATTCAGTGAACATTATAGTCATAAGTCTTTTTCATATCTCCAGGTAATTGATTTTAATAGATTCTTTAATAGATTCTTTGTGGAATAATTGAGTCTAAGGGAGCATACGCATGTTTGGGGGTGTGGACAGGTGTTTTCATGCTGTCAGCACACACTGCTTGTTTGTGCTCTAGTTAGGTTGTAAGAATGCCCTTACAACTTAAAGAATGGACTTTTCCTGTGAGCAGGCAGAAATTCCTATTCCTTATTATCTGTTTAAGTAGGTTATTTTCCTTGTGTCTAGCAGTCTTCTAGAGGTTTCTTCCCTTCTTTTCACCTCTCCCAGGTGGTGGCCAGCTGAGATTTGCCATCCTCGAGCTGTTCCTTCCAACATCGATAAGATGAGACATGATGTGGGCGAGTTCCCTGTCCTCTTCTTTGGGTCTAATGACTATCTGTGGACTCACCAGGCCCGAGTCTTCCCTTACATGGAGGGGGATGTGAGCAGCAAGGATAAGATGGGCAAAGGAGTAGATGGGACATATAAAAAAGGTAATTTTATCCTTTTTGTTTCTCAGGTCACCAACTATCTCTGTTGCCTGAGTATCTGTTCTGTGTTAAAATTCACATACATTCTATTCAGCAGCTGTGTTCTGTCTTGGGGGCATTATGTGGCTGCAGGTACAGTATTTTGAAGGGAAGTTGACCCACATAACTCATTAATTTTGAGCCTAACCTTTCTATAATTGGAATTTCTTTGAGGGAGGTTTTTTTGCCTTATCAGTTGTTTTCTTATCATCTCATCAAGTAATGGAGTTCTGGAACTATTTTATAGAACAAACAAGATAGTTTGCTAGGCAAGAGCTCACATCTCCATATTATGAAGCCATAATTTGCTCTAAGGAGTTTAATTTTTGTTTCTTTGTTTTTTTCCTTTTTTGGTTTATTGGGAAGAAATAAAATTCACCAAACATTATAGAGCAAAGTAGTGAAGGTCACAGCATAAATACTATATATCAAGAGAAATTTTTGTAAGCTGGTTTAGCAGGGAAGCTGTATAGGGGTCGGAGGGGTGTCTCTTGTCTCAGCAGGGCTAATTTTACTTACCAGGTGGCTGAATCAGCTTTGAGCCATTGGTTTTCTCTTAACTATTTAATGGAGAGAGTTTGCTCTGAGAATTCAGTGGGATAATGAAAGTGAACCAGCAGAGTACATAACTGATATCCCCTCTGTGATAATTATTAGGTTATTAAGTATGAAATGTCTAAGTGCTAAGTTTGACATTGATACCTCTGACATTTCACTTCGATTCTTCTTTTTTATGTTTAATGTGAAAATACATCCTCAGTCTTTCAAATGTATGTTTTGGCTTGTGATTATCTTTAATTTTTTTTTTAAAGAGCAATTTCTGTGAGCCCATGGGTAAGTTAAAAATTCATGTTATTTTCAAATGCATTCTGTGGTCAAAACAATGCAGTGCAGACAGCTTGAAATAACAGTGAAGTGTTTGAGAGGATGTGCCTAATGGAGGCACAGTACGTCGATAGTTTGAGAAATTCTGTTCTAGTGATTTTAATCTTGAAATGTGCCACGTGGGTGACCCGAGACCAGGTTGGATAATGATGAGCTGAAAGCTGTAGTGGAAGCAAATCCATCTCAACCTATGTGTGAATTAGCAGGAAGGCTTGACATCACTATTCCAACAATATTGGACTATTTGAAACTAATTGGCAATGAATTTAAACGAATGTCAGAAGAGAAACTTTCTCGAAGCTCGCTTTTCTTTGCTCTCATGACATAAAGGTGAACCATTTCTATACCGTATTGTTACGTGTGATTGAAAAATGGATTATTTTTGATAATCGCAGGTGTTTGGCACAATGATTGGATAAAGATGAAGTGCCAAAACAGTCCCAAACTGAATATTCATCATAAAAAGCTAATGGTGTCTTTTGGGTGGTCCAGTGCTGGTATTATCTACTACATCTTCATGAAACACGGTCAATCAATCACAGAGGACGTCTACTACAACCATTTGGATGAAATGCTGGGGATGCTTGCCATTAAGTAGCCAAGATGGATCACTAGAGACAGGCCAGTCCTCTTGCAAGACAACACTCCAGCCACGTGTCAGACAAACACCACTGACTCCAACTACGGAAGCTGGACTTGGAGACTCCCTGTCATCTACCGTATTCACCAGACCTTGTACCTGTCAACTGACTACCACTTCTTCCAGGCTTTTGACCACTTCTTGCAAGGAAAAATATCCAATTCTCAACAAGCTGTGGAAACTGCCTTTCATGATTTTATCTCCACTCATTCTCTAGGCTTCTTTGGTGGTATAAACAAGCTATGGTTAAGATGCCAAAACTGTGTTGACAGTTTAGGTGCATACTTTAATTCTATTGCTTCTTGTTTGAGATATAATAAACTACACTTTTGATCCAAAATTGGACATTTCATATTTAATGACCTAATACCTTCTTCCTTTAGCTGGCCTTTGAAAGGCAACATATCTTTTTCTGTTGCATATATTTGGACATTAAAGTACAGACAGTCTCCAACTTACTGTGGTTCAACATAAGGTTTTACAATGATGTAAAGTGATACACGTTCATTATGCTCTTCAACTTACTTTGGGATGATGTCCAGGAGTGTCCGTATAAAATTTTATCTGCAGGATGAGATGAAAAGAGATTCTAAGCAGGTGAAACTTCCTGGGTAGGGAATGGGAGTGATGTCCATAGGGAAAAAGATCAATAAAACTTTGTTTTCCGTATGTTATTTTAGTACCTACTCACTTATTTGTTCTCTAGTTTCTGTACGAAGATATATGGGTACTATCAGTGCTGTTATTAAGTCAGTAATACTTAATATTATATGTTATCAGTACTAATATTATAGGAGCTTAGATCTTGAGTCTTGTCATCTCAGAGGTTGGGGACCAAGTGACCAACATTTCTGCACAGAGCTGGCCACCATAGATGCTGGGGAAAAGAGGGAGTGTATATAAGGTCTCAAGTCTAAGCCTGCTGAAGCTCTGGGATTCTGCTTCCACTAGGAGCTGTCCTTTGACTTCTAGGAAAACATGTTGTGGAGACAGCATCTTGCTCTACTGCCCAGGCTGGAGTGCAGTGGTGCGATCACAGCTCCCTACAGCCACGAATTCCTGGGCTCAAGTGATAGAAACACATGTTTTTACAGGGGGAATTGACATAGATACCAGAATGCCATTCAGTGAATATTGTGGCATAAATGTTCATGGTATATACTTTGACATAAAGCAAGAGAAAGCTTGACTAAGCTGGGGATTGAAGTTTAAAAATCATAGATGCCTTCTTTCCTAAGTGACACTTTGAAGAATGAACCGTAATAATAGTTAACCATTTATTTGCCAGGCCCTGTTCAGTGTTAGATGTTTTCTGCTTTAAGTCCTTATGGCAACCCTATGATGTAGATACCATCCTCATTTTGCAGATGAGGGAACTGAGGTATATGAAAGTTAAATTACTTGCCCAAGATCCCAGTGCCAGTAAGTAATAGAGAAATGTTTCGGACTCTGACAGTTGGGCTCCAGAATCCAAACTCTTAACCCCTACACTGATTATGAATAAAGGAAGGTACTTTAGAATGTAGGAAGAATGCCTGACAAAAACAAGGTGAATTAAGAAAAAAAATATTTTTGAATAATAAATAAAATATATCAAGAATATAAGTCAGGTGTAGTAGCTCATGCCTGTAATCACAGCACTTTGGAAGGCTGAGGTGGGAAGATTGCTTGAGCCCAGGAGTTCAGGACCAGCCTGAGCAATAGCAAGATCCTGTCTCTACAGAAAGTAAAAGAAAAATCAGCTGGGCGTGGTGGCATGGCACCTGTTTTCCTAGCTGCTTGGAAGGCTGGCACAGGAAGGTTGCTGGAGCCCAGGAGTTTGAGGTCACAGTTAGCTGTGATCACACCACTGTGCTCCAGCCTGGGTGACAGACCAAGACTGTCTTCTTCCCCCACCCCCCAAAAATACCGCAGTGTGAAAGCATGTGTTGACACTAACATGCTGAGTTAGCACCTCCAAATATTAGCTGTACTCAAAGCATATTATTAGGGAGCCTAAAAAGGATAAGTAAGTTACATGGCCAAAGCAGGGTTTTAGAAACTTCAATCGGGATTTGATTATTGGGATCATTAAAAGGTGAGAGCTATAGCCAGGAAGGTCAGTGAGATGGTTTTAGTTTTAGTTAGAGATGACCAGACTCTAAGGGAATTGTTCATGGAAGCTGGGGGAGGGATGTTGTACACTGGATAGACATTAAGCAGATAGACTAGGTAGGACATGCTGAGTGATAGGATGAGGGAAGAATGAATTTTAGGACAATTTAGAGGAAGGACTCTATGTAACACAAAATCTGCCAGGTTGTTACAAGGAATTGGAGAAAAGAGGATGGGACAGAGGGGAGATTTTTGTGATAGAATTGACAGCATGAGGAGTGCCACAGAGAGGAAAGAGGGAAGACTTAGAATTCTCAGTTTTTTATCTCGCTGAAGAATAATGGATTAAAATTTTATTTTAAGTGGAGAAGTATGAGGATCTTAAGATTTTGTTGGACTTTTCAGATAATGTTTTAAGCATAATAAAGTACAAGTCTTAAATGTAGAATTGATAAGATCTGTGCATCATTGGAGCTAATACTTGATGTTCACAGAATGAGTCTTAGCAAAGAGTAGGGCAGTTTCTCTATGGAATAGGCAAGAAGGAGAGCAAAACTTCCGCTTATACTTCTGCCAGAGGAGAGTGAGCATGTTGCCTGGGGCACCTAGGAACTAGAATGTTTCTGGAAGCTTGAGCTTGGGGACTGAAAAAAAATGTAGGTTTAAAGGCATTGGTTTTGCTGAGCAAATGAAGTTTTGTTGTTAGGAGATGGTATCTGTGGGCTTTTTCAAGCCATTTAGTGTTGTTTTTTTGTTTTTTTTGTTTTGAAAAAAAAGCCCAACTTGGTGGCCCCGCCAAAAGGCCAAGGGGGCAACCCAACCCAAAACAAACGCAAAACCCCAAGGTCAAACCGGAAACAAAAGCAAGCCCCAACCGGCCCCGCCAAATTTTTTCCAAAAATTTTTTTAAGTGGGCAAATAAATTCCTTCCAATTTTAAGAAAAAAAGAGTCTCGCTCTTGCTCAGGCTGGTCTTGAACCCCTGAGCTCAAGGATCCATCCACCTCGGCCTCCCAGAGTGCTAGAATTACAGGTGTGAGCCACCATGCCCAGCCCATTTAGTTGTTTTTTTGTTTTTTCCTCTAAGCTATGGTAGTCTGCATTAATACCATTTAGTTATGGATTATGTTTTATCTAATTGCCATGTATTAATACCCTTGGGACTTTATAATCTGTTTTAACATAGGTGTCATGTGTATTCTTTTTCATAAAGTGTTGGCTGATTTTGGTCTAAAACATGAAATTTCTCCAACTGAAGGGGAGTGGAATAAAAGCAAAATAACTTAGTCCAGAAATTTTTAAGTGACTTGTACTGTGTGTCTTCTTAGCTCTTCAGGAAGCTGCAGCAAGGTTTGAGGAGTTAAAGGCCCAAAAAGAGCTAAGACAGCTACAAGAAGACCGAAAGAATGATAAGAAGCCACCACCTTATAAACATATCAAGGTGAGACAAAATCTCCAGGAGAGATGCTGTATAGCTTACCCTTTTCCTTATTTGTTCATGATGAGGATGGAAGCATAAGCACAGTTGCTTTTAGGCAGAGGTTTGAACTTAAGAGAAGATAGTAAAAAAGTACCAGAGCACCATTCCTGGCATATTGCAGTCTTTGTTCTACTGCCTTGGAATGTCCTCTCATACAAGTGGATTAGATTTCTGTTCACAGAGCATCTTATAGTTTGAAAGGGACCAAAGAGCCATGATGAAAAATGATAAATGGGCCGGGCGCGGTGGCTCACGCCTGTAATCCTAACACTCTGGGAGGCTGAGGTGGGCAGATTGCTCAAGGTCAGGAGTTTGAAACCAGCCTGAGTGAGACCCCGTCTCTACTAAAAATAGAAAGAAATTAATTGACCAACTAAAAATATATAGTCCACTGGACCCAGATTTAAGTGGTAATGACTATTTTACCAGGTAAGTTGAGGTTAGGTACACCTCCCATTAATTCTCCTGAACTTAGTAATAGTAGTCATATTGCTCACCTAAAACATTTTCAGTATCAGCCATTACCAAGAAAACTTACCATGTTACTCACACTAACTCAAGGCCATTTATCATTTTTATTTTTTATTATTTATTTATTTATTTTGAGACAGGGTCTCACTTTGTTCCCCAGGCTAGAGTGAGTGCCATGGCATCAGCCTAGCTCACAGCAACCTCAGTCTCCTGGGCTCAGGCGATCCTCCTACCTCAGCCTCCCGAGTAGCTGGGACTACAGGCATGCGCCACCATGCCCGGCTAATTTTTTATATATATTATTAGTTGGCCAATTAATTTCTTTCTATTTATAGTAGAGACGGGGTCTCACTCTTGCTCAGGCTGGTTTCAAACTCCTGACCTCGAGCAATCTGCCCACCTCAGCCTCCCGGAGTGTTAGGATTATAGGCGTGAGCCACCCTTTTATGTCATTTATATGAACGATTTACAGAAGTAAAAATAAAGGAACAGTGAAGAACAAATTTGTTAGACATTTTAATATTTACTAAAATCTCTTTTTATCTGATAAATTGTTTTAATACCCAAGCATCATAAAACATTAAAGAATATTAGCCCTGTTAGCAAAATGGGGTGGCCTAGGCTCTTGTTGCAAAATATTTGTGATCACATCGTTCTTGCATGGGAATACCCTATTTCATTTTTGTCCTTAGAAATGTAATTTTTATTTATTTTTTTTTTTTTAGTTTTTAAAGTCTGATATTCTGAGACTTTACTTGGAGATCAATTTCAGCACCATCTTTACAATCTATTTTGTTTAAAGTATGTCCCAAATATTGCATCGGACACACTTCACAACTATAAAACTATCTGAAATTCGAAATTAACTAAGTATCTTAGTTAAGTATCTGATAACTGTACTAAAAGCAGACCACAAAGGTATCAAAAGTATGACAGTTTATTTCACTATTTCATTGTGCTTATATATATATAAATGCATTTTTCCATTTTTAGAATTATTTTACTCTTTTTCAACATAGTTGTGAATCGTTGAGTAATAATGCATAACGATTAAATAGTAAAATGGTATTAAAATATAGGAAATTTAAGAACGTAAATTTCCATATTATATCTTAGATTTATAAAAGGGGTCTAATGAGCAACTTTCATGGTGTTTAAAAGACAGTAAGTTATTCCTTTAAAATAAGTAAATTTTCGTTTTGATCTTTGGAAGACCTCTAAGAAGGAATAAAAGTCATGAAATACCAATCCTTAAAAATAATTAAAACTGCTGAAAGTCAGAATTTCAAACCTATAATTGGGTCCAAATGCCCTCTGCTGATACCCTGAGAGCTAAATGGAGTTATTGTATATGAAGACATAACACCAGGGAGTAGATAGGCCTCAGAAAAGGAAAGAAATCCTACTCACACAGTCTTGGCTGACAGATAACCACAAAGTAGGCATTTTAGAGAAGCACATCAACTGTATTGAGCTATTGAGAGAACAATTCCTGTGAATGGTTTCGTCACAAAATTTAGTGGCTAACTTTTTCCTCTGCTTTTATTTTCCTCCAAAACATTTCCAGCAAAAGGATCTTGGCAAACTATGGTTCGTGGGCCAATATGGTCTACATATTTACGTAATGCCCATGAGCTCAGGGCAACTTTTACATTTTTTTTAACGGTTAACAAAGAAAAATTATTTTGTGACACATGAGGATTATGTGAAATTCAGCTTTTATAACCTGGGTGACATGGTGGTACCCTGTCTCTGCAGAAAATTTGAAAATTAGCTGGGCATGGGGGAATGTGCCTATAGTTTCAGCTTCTTCGGAGGCTGAGGCAGGATGATTACTTGAGCTTAGGAGTTTGAGGCTGCAATGAGTTGTGATCATGCCACTGCACCCCAGCCTAGGTAACAGAGCAAAATCTAATCTCTTTTAAAATTTTTTAAAAATAAAGAAATTCACCTTGCACATTGTTTATGGATGCTTGCTTTCCTACTACAGTGGCAGAGTTGAGCTGCCTATATCAGAGATCTATGGCCTGCAAAGCTGGAAGTATTTATTGTCAATCCCTGATTTAGAGTGAGAGTTTACTTGCAGTTACATATCTGTCTTTGTTCTTACTTAACTATGTGGGTTTGTTTTTGTTCTCATTTTGCTTTATGATGTGTTAGGCAAGAAATTTATTTTTGGATTAATAACAGCTATGGTCAGATGTTACAAAAAATGATTAAAACACATACTTTTGTATGTGGAGTAGAAAAGAGAGAAAGGGAGTAGGATGAACCTTCGTGGAGAAATGTGGTCAGGTAAATGCCTTGGATCAGAAGTCAGTGTTCAGTCCGGGCACGGTGGCTCACACCTGCAATCTTAGCACTCTAAGAGGCTGAGGTGGGCTAATTGCACAAGGTCAGGAGTTCAAAACCAGCCTGAGTAAGAGAGAGACCCTGTCTCTACTAAAAATAGTAAGAAATTAATTGACCAATAAAAATATGTATACAAAAAATTAGCCAGGCATGGGGGCGCATGCCAGCTACTCAGGAGGCTGAGGCAGGAGGATTGCTTGAGCCCAGGAGTTGGAGGTTGCTGTGAGCTAGGTTGACACCATGGCACTCTAGCCAGGCAACAGAGTGAGATTCTGACTCAAGAAAAAAGAAGTCAGTGTTCAGAGGCCCTATTTAGGACCTGTAGTCTTGTGTGTGACTGAGTCGTTAACTGTTGTCTTTTATCCCCTTAGAAGTTGCTTTACTTATTATGTCTGTGGCTTCCAGTTTTATGTGGTGAGAATATTCCTCCATTAACAAGAAGTTTACAGTTTTCACCAACGTTTTAAAGAATCTAGGAACATACCTGGCAGTGAGTCTTGGGTCCTTTTTAGTTTTTATAGAGAAATGGTTTGAGGACAGTGTATTTCCAGATTGTGTAGATTTTATTACATTGTTAGAGAAGAGGGGGCAGTCAGTAAAGTGCCAGGAATGAAAGCATTTGAGAATTTAGAGGAATTAAATAACTTTTAAAAATTTATTTTTATTTATTTATTTATCTTTTTTGAGATAGTGTCTTGCTCTGTAGCCCTGGGTAGAGGACAGTAGCGTCCTCATAACTTACTGCAACTTCAAACTCTTGGGCTGAAGTGATCCTCTTTCTTCAACCTCTAGAGTAGTTGGGACTACGGGGTGATTTTTCTATTTTTAGTAGAGAGGAGAGGGTCTTCTACTTGCTCAGGCTGGTCTTGAGCTCCTGATCTCAAGCAATCCTCCCACCTTACTTCCTAGAGTGCTAGGGTTATAAACATGAGTCATCTTGCCTGGCCAACATTTTTTTAACTGGGCAGACGCCAGCCCCCCCCAAACCAGAATAAGTTCAGAGAAACTGCCAGAAATAACTTTTTAAGTAATAGTGATTTTTAGATTGACCAGAATTAGTAATCTAGGTTATTTGATATGATGGAAACAATTATAAGGTATGTTAAAAGAAAGGAAGAAAGAATTCAATTATATCTAACATGTTTAAGAGGCTTCTAGACTCTGTGTTACACCTCTACATAGATTTCTGATTCTCCCAACAATCTCACAAGTATTGTAATTTATCCAAATCACAGAATTCCTCAATTCACAATTTTATTTTTTATTTAGGTGGTTTTGTTTGTTTGTTTGTTGTTGAGATAGGGTCTCTCCCTGTCACCCAGGCTAGAGTGCAGTGGTGTTGTCAAAGCTCATTGCAACCTTATACTCTTGGGCTGAAGTGATCCTCCTGCCTCAGCCTCCCAAGTAGCTGAGTCTATGGGCAAGGGCCACAATGGCCGGCTAATTTTTTTTTGTAGAGACAGGGTCTCAAACTCTTGGCTTCAAGTGATTCTCCTCCCTTGGCTTCCCAGAGTAGTGCTAGGATTAGCTCACAGGGGTGAGCTACCACACCTGGTCTGAATAGTGAAATTTTAAGTTTGGATTATGTCTTTGAAGACTCAATTTGAATGTTCCCACCGAGCTATCAAGTAGGGGACACTCGTTCCTATGCACAAATCCATCACTGTATTGGAATATCTTTTTTTTTCCCTCAGCATTCTTGTTAGTATATGTAAAAACTATATAAATGGCTTTGGTCTCACAGCAGCTATTTGACCTCCATGTTTTGTTTCACCTAATTTTCACTATTTTTCAGCACTAAATAAATGCATGAGTAACATTACCATAGTTCTTTTAACAGATATCAAATTATGGCAGTAAATAATTAAAATACATGTTCGTATACAGGAACCCGAATTACCCACATATGTTTTTTTGTTTTTGTTTTTTTTGAGAAATTTTTTTTTTACCATTTTTTTTTTATTTCTACATATTATGGGGGTACAGATTTTAAGGTTTCAATAAATGCCCATTTTCCCCCCTCCCCCCACAAGTCTGAGTTTCCCTCATGACCATCCCCTAGATGGTGCACATCTCACTCATATATGTATATACCCGCCCCCCTCCCACCTGCCCAGTACCCTAACCCACATATGTTTTTATGCCAACAATTTACCATTTAAGAGGAGTGCATGTTTTTATATAGTAGCTAATGTGGCGCCACCGTGTGGCAATAGCACAAACCTAATTTACAATTCATTGGGCCTACCAGCTTTGAAATTTACATTTCTTTAAATGAATTTTTAAAAGTTTTGTGGAATTCGTTTTTCATATGTCAAACTGCCTAAATCATGATAGTTCAAAACCATCTAAAACCTGACATGCAACTTTAGGGAAGAGAAATGTGCCTTTCACCGAACCTGAGTCACCTGGTGTTGACTTGTCTGAGGTGCTGTGTACCGTGTGCTGCTTCTCCAGGTGAACCGTCCCATTGGCAGGGTACAGATCTTCACTGCAGACTTGTCTGAGATTCCCCGGTGCAACTGTAAAGCTACTGATGAGAACCCCTGCGGGATAGATTCCGAATGCATCAACCGCATGCTGCTCTACGAGTGCCACCCCACGGTGTGCCCTGCTGGGGGGCGCTGTCAGAACCAGTGCTTCTCCAAGCGCCAGTATCCAGACGTGGAAATTTTCCGCACATTACAGAGGGGCTGGGGTCTGCGGACAAAAACAGATATTAAAAAGGTGAGAAAACTGTTAGCTTTTTTTTCTTCTTTTCAGTTGCTTAATATGATCAATTCTTCTCGATGAATGTGAGAAAATTCACATAGAGGAAAATAATACAGCTTTGGGATTAACCTTATTGTGTCTTGCCATATCCTTCCACAGTTTAGAGGCTTGAGAACAGATGGTCTCCTTTATCTCTGAAGTCTTCTGTATTGATCATGTTCTTTATGTAAGGGAATGGACAAAAGAGGGAAATTAATAGAAAAGGTCTGGCTCTATCAACTTTTCTGTGGAAATCCTAGAATCTGTGGTTAAGAGAAGACAAGTCAGCACATGATACAGAGGTGTTGATTACCTACTAATAAAATATTCTTAGTGGGGCAAACACAGGTCTGGATTCATGGAAAATGAAGGAGAAGAGGGTTAGGCCTCATTGAATGAAAATGCAGTAATATCTTCAACTTCACAGGATCTACAAGTTCCTAATAAATAGTTAAGATGATACGGTCTTTATGTAAAATAAATCTTACTTGACATTTTGATAAAATAAGCCTTACTCTGGTTATACATTTTAAAGAATTTTATTGAAATTTCTTTCTAGGAAAGGCAGTGAATATGGGTTGGTCTGTTCAGTCATTTGCCAAATAGTTATTATATAATCTGCTGCGTGCCAAGCATTGTGCTTAGGATGCGATCAGTAGTCAGTAAGAGAAGCACTGTCCGTGCTTGTGTAAGTTCACATTCTAGAGAGGGAGCAGCAGTGAATAGATCGTCTCCCAGTGATGAGCATAAAGGGCTCTGGAAGCATGTGGCAAAAGACCTGAAACTAGCTTGTCTCTGAGAACAAGTCTCTCTTTAAGTTGAAACTTGGATGGTGAATAGCTGTTGGCTCAGGCAAGGTGAGCACTAAAGCCTTGCAGGTAAGGAAGCAGCATGTGTGAAAGCTGGTGTGATTGTAGAGTAGGGAGAAAGGTTGTGTAAAATGTGCAGGGGTGATAGGCAGGGCAGCCCTAGGGAAGATGAACACAGTTTAGAGAAACCGACTTTCAGCCTCTTGGGCAAGTAAAAAATTGACCATCCATGTCTGCATTAGAAGGAAGCTTTAGTTGACTTACTGTTCTTCCATTCTAGAGCATCGTTAGTGTCTAATGTATCTTAATCTTTCTGTTGGTGGCAGTGGTGGGAGTGGGAAGCTGGTTCTCATTATCAAATAGTTGAGGCATCATAAAGTAGCTAATTACAAAATTATATGCATGTAATATGCTTTGGAAAATTTGATATTTTCGTTAATTTTTTAAAAATAAAGTATATACATGCGAACACCTGTGTGCTTTTTGCCATTAAGTCAAGGGCTATTTCTTGTTCTAGGGTGAATTTGTGAATGAGTATGTGGGTGAGCTAATAGATGAAGAAGAATGCAGAGCTCGAATCCGGTATGCCCAAGAACACGATATCACTAATTTCTATATGCTCACCCTAGACAAAGTAAGTAGTGGAAAGTACTGTTTCCATTGTTGTAAGATTGTGAGATTTGTGTTGTCCCAGCAATAGCGTTTGTAGGCATGTCATGCGTTACCCAAAGAGGGTCTTTTCCCTCTCCATGGAGATTGCCTGTTCAGGGTTCTCAAGCAGATAAGATTGGTCAGTCCATGGCCAAAGCAAAAACTGCTTTTTAGCATTCTTTTTTAATGATTCGTTGTAAACTCAGGATTATATTTTTTAGGGTTTTTCCTATTGGATTAAAAGTTGAAACGAAAAAAGTAAATAAATAATCATTCTTTTGCCTTTTTATTTTATAGGTTGAGAAGCTGAATTTTTTTTGTTTGTTTTGTTTTCTTTTGAGACAGAGTCTCACTCTGTTGCCTGGGCTAGAGTGCCGTGGCGTCAGCCTCCGCCTCTCAGGTAGCTGGGACTACAGGCATGAGCCACCATGCCTGGCTAACTTTTTCTATTTTTAGTAGAGACAGGGTCTCGCTCTTGCTCAGGTTGGTCTTTAACTCCTGAGCTCAAGCAGGCCTCATGCCTCAGCCTCCCAGAGTGCTAGGATTACAGGCATGAAGCACCACACCCAGCCAACAAACTGATTTTTTAAATATTGTGTTAAGAAAGTCTTATAAATTGATTGTAGAACTCAATATAAAGACCTGAGTCACCTTTCTCATTTTAGGAATTTTCTGATTAGTTTCATTTCATTGATGCCTACAGTTGCATTTGGGAATTTATTCCTAATTCCAGTATCCTAGTGTGTATATTTTCTGTGTATTTGTGATTCCTATTTGTATCTGAATATTAGTTTCTACTTTTTTCTTCATCCATTAGCTTTTGTCACAGAACCTTTCCTGGTACTTGCCTTTGTAAACATTTCTCAAGTTATGTACTTAATGACTTGTGATGTCTTCACCTCCAGATATTCTAGGTTGGGATGGGGACTCTGTCTCAGTATTTAAATCTCCTTAGGTGATTTCTAATGTCCATCTGGGTTGAAAACTTCTAATTAGAGGATGGGACAAGCTGTTGTTTCTGTGACAGCATAGAAACTTCAGCATAAATCTGAATTACCTGGTGGTCTTGTTGAATTCAGATTGCTGCACTCCACCAGGTTTTCTGCTTTAGTATATCTGAAGCACAACCCAATAATTTGCATTCCTAACAACTAGCGAGGTAGTGATGGTTCTGCTGATCCCAGGGATCACACTAAGAATCACTACTCTGGGAGATTCAAACTTGACAAATAGGAATTCTAGCTTATTAGAATAGTCAGGTTTTTATCAACAGCAGAGCTCTTAGAAAGTCTGATGAGCAGCTTCTCTTGGAATTCTAGGACCGAATCATTGATGCTGGTCCCAAAGGAAACTATGCTCGATTCATGAATCATTGCTGCCAGCCCAACTGTGAAACACAGAAGTGGTCTGTAAATGGAGACACCCGTGTTGGCCTTTTTGCCCTGAGTGACATTAAAGCAGGTAAGAATCATTTACGGATTCTGGAGCTAAGATCCAAATTTCAGGTTTTATCATCTAAAAAATCCCTTATGTCCTCTGTGCCACTATGTGAAGTTTCCAAGCTCCTGAGGAAATATGAAGACTTTGCAGGTGATCCTTGGGCATGGATTTTGTGTGTGTGGAGCGGGGTGTGTTAAAACAAATATAAAATGTATCATTTTAACCATTTTTATGGGTGTGGTTCTCTAGCATTATGTTTATTTACATTGTTGTGCAGTCATCATCACCACCACTCATCTCCAGAATTCTTTATCTTCCCCAGCTGAAACTCTGTACCCATTAAACACTAACTCCACATTCTCCCCTCTGCCTACAGCCCCTGGCAACCACCATTCTACTTCTTATCTCTGAATTTGACTACTGTAGGTACTTCACATAAATGAAATCATGCACTATTTGTCATTTTATGACTAGCTCATTTCTCTTAACATAATGCTTCAAGGTTGGGGCATGTATGGTTTCAATGGAATAAATTCTCAGACCTTTAACTTTTATGTGAACTCCCCGATAATTGGTCTGCTTTGGAAATTGCTGTCTCTCCAGATCTCCTTTTTTACAATTGCTCTTCTCCCACTATATAAACCAAAAATTTCACCTCTCAAACCTTAAGGGTTATGGACCTAAGGCTATTTTTAAAAACAAAAAAACTCCTCACCTCTGGGATGCCAAAGTAGACAGTAGAGAATGCACTCCTCTGTCATGGCCTGCCTGGTGCTTGTGTTTCTAAGAATCAGAGTCTGGAGATAGTTGTAACCAGATTAAATAATAAGATGTGTATTTGAATTGAAAGTAAATCTGATAATGGTGAGTGGTTTAATAGTAAAGTTATATGATGGATATTTTCCATAAATTAAAGGGTCTTAATCTACAGCTTCAAGGTTTTGATAAAACTGTTTTAATCCCTGGTAGTCTAGTGGTTAGAAAAAAACAGTAACTATTTTATATATATATACACATAGGCTTATCTGATACCCTCAGAATTGCATGAAATATCAAAATCAAGACTTGTGTCTAGGGCCGGGCGCGGTGGCTCACGCCTGTAATCCTAGCACTTGGGAGGCCGAGGCAGGCGGATCGCTCGAGGTCAGGAGTTCGAGACCAGCCTGAGCAAGAGCAAGACCCTGTCTCTACTAAAAAAATAGAAAGAAATTAATTGACCAACTAAAAATATATATATATAAAATTAGCCGGGCATGGTGGCGCATGCCTGTAGTCCCAGCTACTAGGGGAGGCTGAGGCAGTAGGATCTCTTGAGCCCAAGAGATTGAGGTTGCTGTGAGCTAGGCTGATGCCAGGGCACTCATGTAGCCTGGGCAACAAAGTAAGACTCTGTCTTGAAAAAAAAGACTTGTATAAAATTTGTGAATTTTGAAATGTACAGGAAAGTATATGGTTTTTCAAAATGAGTTTTGCAGGGACATGAGTGAAACAGTTGAAGATCATTGTCCTATACTCAAACTGAGATGGAACTAGCCTAGGTAGTTTGTATTATACACTTACTGTTGAAGCAGAAATCCTGTATGAGCAATCTGGAAGAAGACCTAGTTCTTTTTTGCCTAGTCTGCATTGTTGACCTCAGGAAGCATTAATCAAGATAAAATAATTAAAAAGCAATATGGTTAGCTCTTGCTCTGTTTTTGTGTTCATCTTTAAATTTTATTTAGTCTGTGGAAACTTCTCCAAGCACTTCCACATCCAATGTATTTTTTCTCTACAATTAAATATGCTGCCCAAGAGTTTTTTAGTCTTTTTAGAATTTTCAAGGTTTTGACAATTTTCAGATTTTAAAAATTGAGCCAATAGTTCCTTTCTCTGTTTTGCAAACAATTTGCTTCATATAAAGCTGTGGTCCCCAACCGTGGGCTGGGAACTGGTAGCAGTCCATGCTGTGTTAGGAACTGGGCCGCAGAGCAGGAAGTGAGTGGCACAGCAGAAGTGAGCAGTGGGTGGGTGAGCGAGCAAAGCTTCCTGTTATTCGCAGCTGCTCCCCATCACTCGCATCACTACATGAGCTCCGCCCCCTGTCAGATCAGCATGATTCTCTTAGGAGTGCAAACCCTACTGGGAACTGTGTGTGTTGAGGGATCTAGGTCGTGCTCCCTATGAGAGTCTCACGCCTGGTGATCTGAGGTGGAGCTGAGGCGGTGATGCCAGCGCTGTGGAGTGGCTGGCTGCAAATACAGATGATCATTACCAGAGAGGTTCGACTGCGCGATAAATGCAATACGCTGGAATCATCCAGAAACCATCCCCACCCCCTTGCCACCATGGAAAATTGTGCCAAAAAGCCTGGGGACCACTGATAAAGTGTTAAATAATTAAACAACACTTGAGCATCACTATGCACTGCACTCTGCTTGATGCTGATTTTTAAAATGCTGACTTGTTTCAAGTTTTTGGAATGCATGGCTTTAGGCTAAAATGTATAGATTTCTGCTTTGCAGTGGGAGCAATTTAGTAAATATATCTTATACTAGATACTATTCTAAGCATGTTATCTCATTTAATCCTTGCAGAAATGCTGTAAAGTAGGTAGACTTCTGTCAGTTCCACACTTCTACTCAGACCCTTCTGTCCATTTCCCACAGGATAGGCCTCCTACCACGTCTAATCACAAATTTTTCTTCTCTCTTCTGCTGTGTTCACTCAGCTCAGTAGTTTGTTGTCAAAATTCGCAGACCTTGTTCTTGTCCTCACTTCTAGTCTGCATGGATGGGATGGGCAAAATGAGACAGCATGTAATAAATGTCAGGCTGAGTGCCTGGACAGATGGAGTCAGGACTTTCATCTTACTTCCTGGGCTCTTCACATACCTGTCGCTATCTCCCACAATTGTTCTCCTCACTTCTTGTTTATCTCTTTTCTTATGTTCTTTGCCATCCTCGATAACTACAGAGCCATCAAAGATTATTGCATATTTAATTCTTTTATAGAATGATATCAGTGTTTCCTTTATGAATGCTGATACCTTCTGATTTAGTTTAGCTCTTTGTGTGATTTACATAGTGTATATTCCGTGAGTGACAAGTTATGCCAAGTATCCTGCAATCTTACATTCGTGTATATGGTGGAGTTGCCTTACAAGCACATCAAATCTATAAGAGTTCAGTTACATATTCATAAATTTTTTTTGATAAGAATACTGTTAATAAAGTCACTCAACATTTAATCCAGTAAATTAACAGCAGGTGTAAGATGGGAGATACGCCCCTGCTGTTACCTTCGTCAGTCTGGGTTCCTGTAAGTTCCTTACAGTGTGAACCTCTCACCTGGCTATGAATGATTCTACTTTTCCTACAACGTGACCCCTAAATATAAGGCAGCTGCTTTATATTTTGCTCAACTGAATAAAGAAATAGGATCTATTTCCAACATTAGATGAAAAACTATGTTTTCTTTTCTTTTTTTTTTTTTTTTTTGAGACAGAGTCTCACTATGTTGTCCCGGCTAGAGTGCTGTGGTGTCAGCCTAGCTCACAGCAACCTCAAACTCCTGGGCTCAGGAGATCCTACTGCCTCAGGCACCAGAGTAGCTGGGACTACAGGCATGTGCCACCATGCTTAGCTAATTTTTTCTATATATTTTTAGTTGGCCAATTAATTTCTTTCATATTTTTAGTAGAGACAGAGTCTCGATCTTGCTCATACTGGTTTCCAACTCCTGACCTTGAGTGATCCTCCTGCCTCGGCCTCACAGAGTGCTAGGATTACAGGCGTGAGCCACCACGCCTGGCCTATGTTTTCGAATAGTTGAAAAAACTATGTTTCAGCTGTTAGTCTCACTGATAAAAGGTATGTCAATCTGCAATGGGAAATCTTCCCAAGATTTGACAATGTTTTTTTTCTTTGTTTTCTTTTTGTTTTGTTTCAACCTGCCTCTCAGGATGAATTTTTGGGGTTTTTTGTTTGTTTGTTTGTTTGTTTTTTGGGTTTTTTTAAGAGACAGGGCTTCAAACTCCGGGCCTCAAACAGTCCTCCTGCATTGGCCTCCTAAAGTGCAGGGGATGACAGGTGGGAGCCACGGAGCCTTGCCCTTCTGGGCTTGAGCCACCACACCTAGCCAAGACTTGGCAGTTTTCAATATGAATGGTCATCACTTCTATATGTTAGCTGTAAGCCAATTATTCCCACCCAGAAGCAACCTCTAAGTTTGCAAATTACTGCTATGTAATTCTTTCAATAAATTTGTGAGATTGTTATTTCACTATTTAAAAAATGGGCTTGCATCTTTATAATCTGGCCTAAAAATAAAGAAAAAAAAAATGGGCTACTACTCCAGGCTGGTCTCCAACTCCTGGCCTCAAGCAATCATACTGCCTTGGCCTACCAAAGTGCTGGGATTATAGGCATGAATCACCGCACCCAACACATAGTTTTATTTTTCATACTTGTTTGTGTGCAATTCAGAAAAAATTTTACACACTTTTTCTAAATCTTTCTAAGATAAAAATTTGTGTTTATGTATATATGTGTGGTTTAAAAAAATAAAGAAAGAGCTATTCGTGGTCCTGATTCCCCCAGCTAAGTTGTGGCATACCTGGGATATACGGCCAGTTTCTGGCCTAGATCTTTATAGCATTACTCTGCCTTTCTCTGGAGTGCTGCTGGGTGAGCTCACCTGGGCAGCACAGATTGATAGGTTTTCTTCATACTTGCATTTCTAGTACCTGGCACGTTGATAATAGAGTAAGTTAGTTTTGGGTAATGAATTAATATATTTTGAATCTGAGTGGTTAGAAAACAAATGAAAAACAACTTGAGTTAAAATCAACACATCCATAGTAAAAATTATCTTAAATATTACTTGTTAAGCCATTTCAGTTTTTCTGTTATTAAGTTGTAGTAGTGATTTGATAATTTTATAGGATTAGAATTTGTTAATGTAGTTGTGGGATTAGTTAAATAATTTTTTTAAAAAATTCCCTGTTTAAAATTAATCTGTTGGAGCTTGGTATCCTTTGTAATTAATACAGAAATAATGTAATTAAAACCATAGATATTAATATTTTTACGGTCTCTTATGCAGGCACTGAACTTACCTTCAACTACAACCTCGAATGCCTTGGAAATGGAAAGACCGTTTGCAAATGTGGAGCCCCGAACTGCAGTGGCTTCTTGGGTGTTAGGCCAAAGGTACCACCATTCCAGCCCTTTGCATTGGGAATAGTGGTGCAGTCCTTCATCTCTGACAGTGTTAGGGCTCAGCCTTCATTGTAAGAAGATATTCTTTTGAAATAATGACATTGAATAGGTATAGATAGGGCCACTGGCAATTTGCTAAGCAATCTGATGTCAATTCAGTTACACAAGAGAGGGTCTTTGGGTATTGTTGGAGTGTTTTATGCAATCTGACTTTAATTGGTAATACTTTCTAGCTATGAAAGCTGTAAAATAGAAACTTCTTTGGTTACCTCCCACCTCATTGTTGGTGTCACCTTAGTTCACTCATATCTCCTAATAAGCTACGTGGATTCTTGGTATATCTGTGCCTGTCTGTCTCTCACTTTTTCTAAAGATACCAAAGAATCTGTAATTGAATTTAAAGTTCTAAATGTAATAAAATACCACAGATGAGAAAGTAGGACTCTTAATCTCAACATTATAACAAAGTATAAATGTTGTCTTACTTCCTGTTTTTTTGTGTACATTTTTAACTGAATTGTAATTCTATAATTAATTATTTATAAGTTTGTATCCTGGCTTTTCTTAAATATTATAAAAATATTTCCTTACTTTTACATAATTCTCTTAAACATGATTTTTAGTGACTTTAATTTTTATACAATGGATGAACATAATAGATGAATATCTGGGTGCTTAAAGTTTCTCTATATCATAAGTAACTACACACTGAAAATTGAAGTTTAATTTTCATGCTAAGTAGACTGCACAGTGACTCCAATTGGCTATTTCCCTTGATGTTTTATTTGATTATGAAGCACCACATTAACTGAAAAATGCAAATTATCATAGAAACCAGTAAGAAAAATTATTTGAGCAATAACATGTGAAAACAAAGAACACCCACTAATTATTGTTTGATCTTGTTAAATAAGGAAAATCATCTCTATATTATATGGAGTTTTGTTTTGCTGTTTGTTTGTTTGGTTGGTTGGTTGAATGGTCTTGTTCCTTAAGAAGCCAGTTGTTTCCTATGAATTAAAACAGTAATTGAGTTTAGCCCATAGTTACTGACGTGAGGTGCACTGGGGATGTCAGTTTCTGCATCTCTACGGTTTCACAGGAATCAGTGGGAGAAAAATGCTAGGAAAGAAGTTTAGAAATGGGAGGTCACTGTGGCTCAGTAAACATTGGCCTATTAGAATGGGCAGGACCTTTATTAAGCCCTGTAGATTGGTCTTGTATGTTTCTAAGCTAAAATGAATTTCTGGTGAAAGCCACAGGGTTTGGTGACTAAGCGTGGCCTGCATGAACACACAGGAGGCCTGCTGGTTGCACAAGGGTCTGTCTGGGAAGTGGTGGACATTTACCTAGTTTGATTTAAAGGCGCATAGTCTTTTTGAAGACAAGGACCATGAATTTTTTGTGTCTTCCTAACACACGGCGCATAGAAAGTGTTCAGTGAAGGTCACAGAGTAGTCTTCTTTAACTTTGAAATTAGACAAACATAAAAATAAAACTTATGAAAGGATGACATTTAACACCACTTTTGTTGTCAGCAAAAACACATATGGCCTTTTCTGCTTCGCTCATGTGGCAGGAGTAGTTAATTGATACAGAAGTGGTCGTCATTGCTGCCATTTACATAGATTGGGTATCTATGATGTGTCAGGTGCCTTTGCTACATTTTGTCTTCATGAAAGTCTATGTGGACTGTCTTTTCCGAGAGAAGAAACTGAGACCCAGAGAGGCTAGTTAACCTGGTTAAGATTAGTACTAATATATGTTGACAGAATGCTGACTGCTCAATATCTGACCTCTAGAATCAACCGATTGCCACAGAAGAAAAGTCAAAGAAATTCAAGAAGAAGCAACAGGGGAAGCGCAGGACGCAGGGTGAAATCACTAAGGAGCGAGAGGATGAGTGTTTCAGCTGCGGGGATGCTGGCCAGCTTGTCTCCTGCAAAAAGCCTGGCTGCCCAAAAGTCTACCATGCGGACTGTCTCAATCTAACCAAGCGACCAGCAGGTTGGTGCCAAATCCAGAGTGCTCCTTCTCTGGCAGGATATCCAGGGTCTCATGCCATTTGCTTCAAATTCAGTCTGGAAGACAGTGCCCACGCATGTTGTTGAAGGGTGTGGTCTGTGTTCATATTTTGGAAATAAATGACAACAGAGGCTTAAAATCCTTGATTGTAAAGAAAGGAACAGAAACTAACCTACTGTGTATCCAGAACTTTACTTATATTTACGTTATTTCATCCTCCCAGCAACCCATAAAGATGATTTTTCTTCCATGTTATGAGGAAACACAGAGTCAGACTGGTGAGATGACTTTTCACAAATAGATGGAGGAGCTGGGTTGAAAGCCAGGTTTTCTCACTCCAAGGCCACTGTATCTTGTTACCTTTCCAGAGAAAGGCTGGGGCAGAGCAGAGCCTTTGGGTTCTGGTCAGCAATAGATGGATTGCCATCCTATTCGCCATTCCCATGCTCCCATCCCCCTATTGGGGTCTCTTCCCTTGCAAAGTAGACTTTTTTCCTCTGAAAGAGATGTGATTATATCAATTAACATATGCGAGGCTGGGCGCGGTGGCTCACACCTGTAATGCTAGCTCTCTGGGAGGCTGAGGCGGGAGGATTGCTCGAGGTCAGGAGTTCGAAACCAGCCTGAGCAAGAGCGAGACCCCGTCTCTACTATAAATAGAAAGAAATTAATTGGCCAACTATATATTAGAAAAAATGAGCCGGCATGGTGGCGCATGCCTGTAGTCCCAGCTACTCGGAGAGCGTGAGGCAACAGGATTGCTTGAGCCCAGGATTTGAGGTTGCTGTGAGCTAGGCTGACGCCATGGCACTCACTCTAGCCTGGGCAACAAAGTGAGACTCTGTCTCAAAAAAAAAAAAAAAATATGCGAAAGCTGCCCAGGTGGATGTACTAACCAGGAATTTGTGGTTGGAGATGTTTATAGCCTTTGGATGGTGATTTGGTGTTAGAGGACTTTAGGGAATTGGATATGCCATTCTATTTTAAAGGGCAAAAAAGAAACTAGTAGGGGCCGGGCGCTGTGGCTCACGCCTGTAATCCTAGCTCTTGGGAGGCCGAGGCGGGCGGATTGCTAAAGGTCAGGAGTTCAAAACCAGCCTGAGCAAGAGCAAGACCCCGTCTCACTATAAATACAAAGAATTATTGGCCAACTGATATATATATAAAAATTAGCCGGCATGGTGGCGCATGCCTGTAGTCCAGCTACCTGGAGGCTGAGGCAGTAGGATCACTCGAGCCAGGAGTTTGAGGTTGCTGTGAGCTAGGCTGACGCCACGGCACTCACTCTAGCCTGGACAACAAAGCGAGACTCTGTCTCAAAAAAAAAAAAAAAAAATGAAACTAGTAGGGAATCATTCCAGGCTAAGATTATACATTATTAGTGGCCTGCTTCCCAGAATTATAGAAGGTGGAGGACTTCGAGGTAGAAGTAAAAGGATTTTGTCCTTCATTGTGTACTGGCCAGGGTGATGAAAGAATAGAAACTGAAATAGAATGAGAACAAGGCCATGACATTGACTTGTCAGTGCCAGGAAATGGAATTGTTTCAGAATGAATTACTCAGAGCCATCACTGGCCTAGGCTGTGATAGAGTTGATCATGCCTGTGTGTCAAGAGCAAGGTGTAGCATGGTTTAATTAGGGATAGAAATACTGTCCATGGTCAAGACTCTTATCTCATGAAGTAGGGGTAAAAAAATAAAAGGTAGATAAAACCTCAGTTTTGCATCTTTTCCAATGATTCCTTGTGGACCACATAGGTAACATTTTGTGCTGATTTCAAGACTTAAAATTCAGCAAAGGTAAATCTGTTTCTATTTTTCACAATTGTATATCTTTCCTATTCCTGTTAATAACCAAATAAGCAGGAATCTAAATAGCTGGGATGTTTCTCTTGGAATTGAATATTTAAAAGCTGTACAGGGCCAGGTGTGGTGACTCACGCCTGTAATCCCAGCACTTTAGAAGTCCGAAGCGGATGTTTGCTTGAGGCCAAGAGTTCCAGACCAGCCTGGTCAACATAGTAAGACCATGTCTCTACCAAAAAAAAAAAAAAAAAAAAAAAAACTATATAGGACAAAAAGAGTTTGCAAAAACATGAAAGTAATATCAAAATGTTTCTTCTAAGAGCAGCTTTGTGTTGTTTTTGTTTTCCTTGCTGGAAATAGTCATAGAAGTATGGATTTACTCCTCTGCTTGTATATTTAGGGTGATTCTATTAATAGCTGTTATTTGATACTTCACTGTTATTTAATGTATTCTGTGGAGAAGAGGAAGCTGTTGCTCTAGGGCAGGAGGTAGCAGGTGAGTGGCGTAAGATCTCTGAAGCAGGAGCAGTGTGACGCGGGGCAGTGGGGAGGAGGATCTGCATTCTCACCTTTGCACCATCCCAGAGCTGTGGCCCAGCTCACATGCATCTCTTTTTTCCTTAAGATTTGTTTCACTGTTGTGTTTTCAGGGAAATGGGAGTGTCCTTGGCATCAGTGTGACATCTGTGGGAAGGAAGCAGCCTCGTTCTGTGAGATGTGCCCCAGCTCCTTTTGCAAGCAACATCGAGAAGGGATGCTTTTCATTTCCAAACTGGATGGGCGTTTGTCTTGTACTGAGCACGACCCCTGTGGGCCCAACCCTCTGGAACCAGGGGAGATCCGTGAGTATGTGCCTCCCCCCGTACCGCTGCCTGCAGGCCCAAGCACTCACCCGGCAGAGCCATCATCAGGAGTGGCTGCTCAGGGGCCCAAGATGTCAGATAAGCCACCTGTTGACACTAACCAGACGCTGTCACTCTCCAAAAAAGCTCTGGCAGGAACTTGTCAGAGGCCACTGCTACCTGAAAGACCTCTTGAGAGAACTGACTCCAGGCCCCAGCCTTTAGGTAGGGTCAGAGACCTTGCTGGGTCGGGGACCAAAGCCCAATCCTTGATACCCAGCCAGAGGCCACTGGACAGGCCACCTGCCATGGCAGGACCAAGACCCCAGCTATCTGACAAACCCGCTCCAGTGACCGGCCCAAGCTCCTCACCCTCAGTCATTTCCCAACCACTGGAAAGACCTCTGGGGACAGCTGACCCAAGGCCGGATAAATCCATAGGTGCTGCCAGCTCAAGGCCCCAGTCACTGGAGAAAACCCCAGTCCCCACTGGCCTGAGACTTCCACCGCCAGACAGACTGCTAATCCCCAGCAGTCCCAAACCCCAGACTTCAGACAGGCTCCCAGACAAATCCCATGCCTCTTTGTCCCAGAGACTCCCACCTCCTGAGAAAGTACTATCAGCTGTGGTCCAGAGCTTGGTAGCAAAAGAAAAGGCACTGAGGCCTGTGGACCAGAATACTCAGTCAAAAAATAGAGCTGCTTTGGTGATGGATCTCATAGATCTAACTCCTCGCCAGAAGGAGCGAGCATCTTCTCCTCATGAGGTCATAGCACAGGCTGATGAGAAGATGCCGGCATTGGAGTCGAGCTCATGGCCTGCCAGCAAAGGCCTGGGGCATATGCCGCGAGCTGCTGAGAAAGGCATGTCAGAGTCTCGTCTTCAGCCATCTGGGAAAACATCGGCCCCTTCAGAGCACCCGTGGCAAGCTGTTAAATCACTCACGCAGGCCAGACTGCTTTCTCAGCCTCCCGCCAAGGCCTTTCTGTATGAGCCAGCAACCCAGGCCTCAGGAAGAGCTCCTGCAGGGGCCGAGCAGACCCCAGGGCCTCCTCTCCAGCCCTCGGGCCTCGGGAAGCAGGCGAAGCAGATGGTCGGAGGCCACCAACTACCTGGACTTGCTGCCAAGAGTGGGCAATCCTATAGGTCTCTCGGGAAGGCCCCAGTCTCCCTCCCCACTGAAGAGAAGAAGTTGGCAGCCACAGAGCAGAGTCCCTGGGGCTTGGGAAAAGCCTCACCAGGGGCAGGGCTCTGGCCCATAGTGGCTGGACAGACACTGGCACAGTCTTGCTGGTCCGCTGGGAGCACACAGACTTTGGCACAGACTTGCTGGTCTCTTGGAAGAGGGCAAGACCCAAAACCAGAGCAGAATACACTTCCAGCTCTTAACCAGGCTCCTTCCAGTCACAAGTGCGCAGAGTCAGAACAGAAGTAATACCAGTAAATGTCACATGAACAGACGTGCTGCCCCCAGGGTACCATTTGGGGAGGGGAAATCTTCTTTTCTTTCTTTTTCCCCCCTTAAAAAACAGATCTACCCCACACTTTCCCACTGTTATTCTTTCCTTATATCCCAACACTCAGAACTCTTGTGATATTAGCCAGTGGGGGTTTGTGGTTGTGTGAACCATGTATGAAAATCCAAGTGGCCCCAGCCAAGGAGACAGACAGACTTGGGTCTCTTTTCCCTAACTTTTTACACATGATCAACGTGAAATAAAAAGTCCACTCTGGAGTCAAGCATGGAATTCAATTCCGCTGCTCAGGTTGGAAGGTATGGGGGCTCTCAAAGCAATTTCCCCAACCCGGCAGAGCCCCGCTGAGGGCACCTGTGGAACCCTTGGGAGTTAATGATCTTCATTCAAATCAGTGGCAATTTCCTGAGCATTCATGTGTTCTAGGCCGGGTGCTAGTCACTGATGAGAGATACAGAGATAAATAAGGCCTAATTCTTACGAGCCTAACATGCCTGCCTGGGTTCCAAGGCTGTTTTTAAGAACCTTTGACCAGGAAATAACAGGAAGTTCTGAGGGGCCCTGAGGCTCCAGACTCATTTTGAAATGTCCCTTGTGGCACCAGAAGTGGTTGTGTTGAGCAAGCGTCTCCTTGTTGGGGTGTCCCTGGGTGCTGTACGTGCACACATGTTTATACAGAGGCCTCCTCTGTGGACAGAAGGTGCTGCTTCAAAGCCACGTGGGGCTACTGGCTGGGGCAGTCACTGCTGCTGCGGTCTGGGCTCTGCAGAGTCTGAAGATCTGACTTTGGAAGAGCAGGTGGTTAGCGGGAGCTGGGCTCTATGGAAATGTAGTTTTCCAGCAGTGGAAGAAGGCAATTGGCAAGCTTAATTTTCTTTTCCACCGGTTTTCCTCCTTTTACATGATCCTACCCTATCCCCATTCCCCCAAACACTCAGGTGCTTTCAGATTTCAGAGTCTCGGGCAGTGGACATAGGGAATCTCCGGCAAGCTTGAGCTAGACACACCAGCTTCGGGAAGAGTCCCAGGTCCTGATGGGAAATTACTTTTCCCCGATCCTTTGCCCTCCTGAGTAGAGGGTGTCCTCTTCCCCACCTCCCTGAGAATTTTGGTGTGCTCTCTGTTGAGAACACCTGCCTGCTGACTTAGCTCAAAGGCGAGCCAGAACCCTTCTAAGACTGGCGAGACATGTTGTTTAGAGCGATGTCCAGGCTAAGAGATGGCTCCTCATAACTGCTGATTATCTGTTACTGCTGCCCTGAGCTGGGGCCCAAGGGCTGGGAAATCTGTTGGTGCTACCCTGCCCTACCATTCACCCAGCTCACTGACTGCCAACAGAAAGTGCTGTTTGGCTGATTCCCTTCCCGTTTCCCACCCATCCTTTGTCCTTAGACCAACGTTTACCTCTCTGCTTTGCCAACTTAGCAGCTTTAGCCAACAGGCCATCCCTTGGCCCAAAGGTCTCCTGGCCAGTCTGTCTCAGTTACGTACAGCTTTTACATCCTCAACAGGATTCTGTATCTGGTCCTGACGTCCTCATCCCAAGTTCCTATTGAGGTCACTCCCATCACTTCCAAGGAGGGAACAATAGTTGTTATAGAAGCATTTGCGCTTTATATAAAGATTAAAAATAGAATCTGCTTTTATTTCCCAAAGTCCGTCTCTGAAGTTGAGACACATGAACTCAGGCAGAGGGGCGAGGCTGTCCCAAGTTTAGGGCCTATCCCTGCATTCACTGAGACCTCGGAATCTCCTCTGTGAATCCCACCTGCCTAGTTCTCCCCTTTCATCCTCTCTCGCCACATCGTCAAAGAGGAAAAACTCTTTGTTCAAAAGGAAGAGAAAACGTAAAGCATCTTATTTTCTTTTAAAAGAATTTTAAACCATGAAAAAACTATTTTTAAAGAAATTCACCCAGAACGTTAAAGTTCATTATATTAAGTATTTATCATGTGTGAGAATAATAAGTATATAACTGCAGCTAATAGGTCCCTTTCCTTAATCTCTTAGGTTGTATAAGTAGGCCTTGCTTGGTGCCAGTCCTGTGCCCTTTTCTCTCCTGTCATCTGTAGTTGTGATCAGAAAAAGATTTCTGCACTGCACTGTCAGAATCTCCTTTCACTATGTTGTGTGTTAAATTACCGTAGTTCTTTGTTTCATGAAATAAACTGTGAATTTTTGGGGTGGGTGGCGTGCAGGCTATGTAAAAATTTTAAGTGGAGAAGTTTGATCCTGAAGTAGCTTCTCTGAAGTAGGCTTTGGTAGGTAATTGACTTGACAGCGGTCTAGATACGTCTCACAGGACAGGATGGAGTGAGGGAAAGGGGGCTGTAATTGGCTGCTTTGTGGTTTTGTTTTGGTTCTTTCCATTCTCCACCATTTACTGGAGGCTTCATTCCAGACCTGCCTGGAAAAACAGCTTCTGAGCCATATTTGGTTTTGGGGGACAGTTCTTTATCTGAATGGAAGAACAGCCACACTTCTGTTCAGGGCCATTGAATGGAAACTAGACATTTGAATTATTGGGCCCAGTGGTAGCAGAATCTGGTACTAGACTATTAAAATCTTAAAAGCAGTCATGATCCAATTAGAGGCAGAGTCAGAACAACCGTTGGGAAACGAAACTCTTGTATGCAGGTGGGAAGTGACCTTGCCAGCCCCTGTGAGACTTCTCTTGAAGCCTCTAATGAGACCCTTCATCCAAGAGGGTGTGAATTGCAGTTGAAAGGAAATCTTTTATCTTAGAAACTTCTGGTCCTTGTGTAGGATGGTATTTGTGTGTTCGGGGAAGTGTTTGAGGTCTTAAGAGTCTGCCTTGGAGCCAGCTCACCAGGAAGCATTTTCCATGGGCAAACGGAAAGGTTGAAATGTCCCATGGGTAGCTATAAAACCAATACCTCTCCTAGCCCTGTTAAGTCTGGAAAAAAAATATGGAAACTGTTGAAGTTTGTATTCCGAGCCTCATTTGCTTCTCTTGCTGGAGCCAACCCAGTCTAATAGAAAAATAACTGTCATTGCTACAAAAGCATCCATGTCTGCTTTCCCCTAAAGTTACTGAGTTTGAGATGACTTAAGTCACTGTAGTGTTCATCCTTTTCTGAACTAAATCCGTATCTTTAGCATTGATGAAAATAATTTTATTCTTCACATCCTCCACCCAACACTAAGGTCAGGGCATGAAGTTCCTAGCGATCCTTTTTCCAGCTCAGCATCATCTGCTCACTGGAGCTGGACTCCCAGGTTGTAGTTATAATGTTGCCCTGGGAGAACAGAATGGCAGGAAGGAAGTTTGGTCTTGGCAGCTTCACCCATGAAGAGTAAGCAGGAGAGCATGAAACTTGGATGGGTTGTACCCTTAGCTCCTGTAAAGCAGGTTTTCTCCTAAGACTTTTTTATATTGTCATCCTCTTGGGGTTTGTCAGCCAAGAGGTCATAGGGGCCCAGGTATCCTAATCTCTCCAAGATCATGGCAGGAGAGGAGCTGCCTCAAGCCCCTTTTCCTGCTGAGTCACGCTTGAGCTGTCCATGTGTTAGACATTCCAGATCATTTAGAGCTAGGTAGCTGCTGCATGAGACTTTCCTTGGCTGTAGCCAGGTAGCTCTCAGCTAAGCTTCCTAGGGCCAGTGCAGCAGGGCCAGAGGTTGCTGTAGTGTAAATTAAAGTAAGAATAGATCATTGTTTTGTACACAAAAATGTAATGATGGTGCTAATTTCATGGTATAAATAAAGCACTGCCAAGGGTTAAGGGACTGGCAACTTAAGAAACCCGGGTTCCTGTTGGGGAGAAAGATTTTTATGAAGAAAGGTTTCTTTGAGGCTTTGTTAGAGAGAGAGTGGGGAGAAGACAGAGCCTCAGTGAAGCCTGCACCCAGCCCTGGAGTTAGCCCAGTGCAATCTAGAGGTGGAAGAGATCTTGTATCCAGATGAAGGTGGCTATTGAGTTTCTTAGGGCTGGGGTCGGTCACCTTGTCTCTAGCCTCCGTCCACACTGCCTGGAACAGGTTGGTAGAGAGCTCTGGGCGCTGGGTCTCCCTCGGTGCCCTTTGGCCTGTCTCTACCTCTTCCACTCCCATGGAAGCACCTCTATTGCTTATGAAGATCAAGGGTAATATTTTCTAAGGAGGTGGAAAGAATTTATTTTAATTAAAACTCTGCATCCTTGGAAGAAGTATTTCCTACCAACATAAGCAAAGACAGCACATGTTCAACTCTCGTGTGGTCCCTTCTCTAGAGCTGCTTTCCTGTGACTTTCAGAACATCAGGCTAATGAGGAGCTTTAGGTGTAAGGCCCTGGAAACTAAGGAAAGCTTGGTGGACAAGAGAAGAGCACAGGGAGCAGAAGCAGAAACGAATGGTTCTGGTGCTTTAGACTTCCGGGGGCAGGGCGGGGCAGGGCAGGGCAGGGCAGGGCGGGGCAGGCCGTCCCCAGGTCTGAGGTGGGTGCTGCCTGTGTGCATGTAGGTGAGGGTGCGCTGAAGCTGGGCGAGTGCAGCACACAGGAGCTCATGGAAGAGCAACTTCCTAGGTCTTGGCAAAGAAACAAGCTGACAATAGAGATCTATCTTTATATTTTTAAGAAAGGACTGTGGGGGAGGGGTGGTCAGCCAAGATCCATCATTGTTTTTTTTTTTTGCCCCACCCCCATAGATTGTCAGCTGTAAGTGAAACTCCTAGTGAAAAAGAGGGGAGCCCTGTGCTAGGAGTCCCCATAAACATGTACTGTAATTCTTTGTATATAGAAAAAAATTACTGTAAAGTAAAGTTTAACTTTACTCATATGGCCCTTGCCCTGTGTTTTGTTTTATTGTCCGTGGGGAGATGTAGCCTAACAGAAGGGAGGACTGGTTTGGGGTGAGAGCAGAAGTCACCCCCAGAGACAGTTTGGGGGGGGCATGATGGAGCTAAGCCCTTCCTCCAAGCATTTTATGGGAGTGGTGTGGGTTTCCTCCCAGCAGCCATGGCGACCCAAGCCTCTTCTCTCCTGCTAGGAGTGGCTGATGTCAGTTTCAGTCTCCCTCCACAGGAAGCCTCCTTCACTCATGAGGAAGGGTATTTTGAGGTACTGGTTTTAAAAAGGAAGTGGAACCAGTGCATTTTCTATGTCTGTGAGTGAAACTCTATGTTGACGAAGTTTTAAATTCTGCAGAGGCAGGTGTTGGGGGTATTGCAGAGGGCTCACCCCAAGCCTAAAAGCAGGAAAGCAAAGGCAAATACATTTCCTTTTGGTTGAAGGGGAGGTGTCGACCCTGTTTATAGTAACACCTGATCCTTCAGAAATTTGAACCTTCAAGGCCTGATACTTTGGGGGAACTTTGGTGGGAGTTTGCCTCCCCTTCTGACATAGTCCTGGACTTCCCGCTCTTTCAGCAAAAAGCCCTGGGAAGAGCAGGAAAAACATTTAGTTCTAGAGTTACTTTTCACTTAAGACCTTCACAGTCCTTGGATTAGGTAGTAGTCACCTCATTTTACAAATTAGAAACTCAAGCCCCTTTTCTAAATTAGTAGCTGAACTGGATCCAAATCCTGATCCACAAGACCTTTCTGTCTTGCAGAACTCTAGACTTTTCTACCATTAAACCACATTGTGGGATGTCACCGGGAAGCTCAGGACCTGAATCACAGGCCTGACGTGTGGGCCCAAACATGACAGATGCAGTAAGGAAGCCAGACAAACCTGTCTCGAGGTAGGAGTGCTTGACCCTTTTATCTTTGGACATAACTTAAGTGCTAGTCTCAGCACCTAAAAGGAATTGTGAGCTTTGAGCTGCCCCAACTAGTCTCTCACCCTGTCTTTGCCCCCACCAAAGAAGAGGAAAGACCCCTTTGTTTCTCTGGCATCTCAGCCATAATCCCGGCCAAAGTTTTGGTTTCCACAAGAAAACAAGAGATGGGCAGAGTCTTAATATGAAGTAAGGCCAGCCAAGTGGCCCTACAAAGAACTAGGTGTCTTGACACCCAATCCACAAAGCATGGAAAGGGGCTGAGTGTGATTCACAGTGCATTGATTTTATTTACAGATCAGAAGCCACTTAGATAATCTGCAGACACAAGTGCTGTCCAGGGCAAAAGCCTGGGGTCCAAATCAGCCCTTACCCCTCCTCATGCCCACAGTCAGCCCAATGCTGCCTCTGTTCCATGGGCCAGCACAGGCAGGTGCCACCTCTGCTGCCATGGGGACCTGGGGTAGCTCAAACATTTGACCACCCAAGCCCAGACAAAAGCTGGGTCTGGCCCCTTTGAGGAGTTCCTTTAATTCCCCCAGGCCAGGTGAGTGGTGACTCAGTGATGACAACAGCTGTAGAAATATGGGTTTGCCTTCTGGCCCAGATCCACGCCCTTGTCCTCTGTCAAAGAGAGAGGTGGCAGCTTGGCAACATTCTGTTGGGGAGGGGGGTTCCAGGTAACTGGTAAAGGGAGCTTGGTGCTGTGGGCCTAGGGGAAGTCTCTGTCAAGGCTGGGGAAGCACACACCTGTCATCACCTGGAAGGCAGCCACACTGACGTAATCCTCTGCCACTTTCTGGAAGAGCTCGTCTGGCAGGAAAAATGATGATCAGTGAGGGCCCAATGCCAGTAGCCCTGGGATCTCCAATGACCCAGCTCTCTAGGCTCTTTTCTGCTTGCTCTGGTGCCCCTGCTGCTGCTGTGAGGCCCCAGGACAGCACTCACCCACACTCTGGCCCGTCTTGCTGGATGTTTCAAAGAGCTGAGCTTTGATATCTGTAAAGAGAAGTGACTAAAGCCTCAGACAGACAAAGGCGACAGCAGTTTAGGGAGTCTCCTGGACCCCATGGTTCAAGGAGGCCAAAAAGCCCTCCTAGGGCACATTCCCATGGCAACCAAGACAGTCCCTATTTCCTGTGACCCACCCAAGCAAGCAGCCACACCCCCCTCTACCACCCAAGGGGCTAAGGAGCAGCTACTGTCTGCATAGTCCTGGACATCGTGGAAGTCCACACGCCGACGCCGCCGATCCTCCTCCAGCAGGTCACTCTTGGTGCCACATAGGTAGATTTGACAGCCCTGGGGCAGAAGACAAGGCCAGGGTCACCACTGACCAGCAGAGCCCTAGCCCCTGGTCTTCTGGTGAAGTCTGGCCACATACCTCCTCCAGGCTGCGCAGTTCCTTCACCCAGAACTTGGCTCGCTCAAAACTGCTGCTGTCTGTGAGGTCTTGGTATGGGGCATGCAGGAGACACAACCAAGGGTCAGCGCTTTCTCCCAAACCAGCCTGGTACCCAACCCTTCTTGCTTGTGGAACAGCCCAGAACCTCCCTTACCATAGCAGACGATGGCAGCCTTGGCACCTCGATAGTAGATTCTGCTCATGGCCTCGTAGCGCTCAGAGCCTGCGGTGTCCTAAAGGGCAGGGGGAGGCTCAACCCTGGCCCTAGTCAAACTAAGGCTGTATCCTCCAGACCCCCATTTTCCTGGTGAGGAAACGGGGGTCTAGGGAAGAGAAATGACCTCTATGAGGCCACAAGTCAACCAGGAAGGAATGAGTTTACCCAGGAGCAGATGCCCAGGGGACTTACCCAAATACCCAAAGTCACTGTCTGGTCTCCGACAGACATCACCTTGGCCACGAAGGCGGCCCCGATGGTCTGCAACAAGAGGGAAGGGATCAGGGCCAAAGGTGCAGGCCGGGCCCCTCCCGCGCGTTCCTGCCCCCAGTGGGTGCACTCACGTTCTGATAGGGCCCCACCAAGAAGCGGTCGTGCACGTATCGCTCCACTAGGCTTGTCTTGCCCACGTACTCCTTGCCCAGCATCACCACCTTGACGTCCACGCGCTGCCCGCTCATGCTCCCGGGGCCGCCTCACCCACGTCGGGGTCCTGAGCGGGGACGGGAGGCAAACCCAGACCTCCGCTCGGCCCCGGCAGCGCCCGAGCCTCAGGCCCCGGCCCCGAGCTCCAACCTGCGGCTCGCGACGCCGCGTCGGGCCGAGCTCGAGCAGCGGCCCTGCACTCTGCCAGCGCGCCCGTCTGCCCCGCTCCTCGGCCCGGGCGCAGATTGTCTCGGAGACCCCGAGACCCGAGGCGGCCCGGAGCGCGGGACAGCGTCCGCGACAGCGCCGCACGCCCCCGCGCAGCTCGCCGCCCGCCGCCCGCCCGCCCGCCCGCCGGGCTCAGGCTCCGCTTCGGCTCGGCTTCCCGGCCGAACCAGGGTCCCTCCGGCCGCGCTCGGACCCGCAGCGCCGCGACTCCCGCGGGAGGGGGCCGCGCGGGGGCGGGGCCGCGCGGTCACGTGACGCGAGCGCCGGAAGTGGCGGCTGCAGTGCGGCGGCGCCGGAAGTGGCGCGGGCCGGGACGACTCATGGCGGCTGTGGCGGCTTGGGTGCGGCGCGGTGGGGACTGAGCTGCTTGCTAGCCTGGCGGCGGGCGTGCGCCGAGCCCGGGCCGGCCACCGCGAGCCCTCCCCGGGCTCCGCACGCCTAATGCTGCGTGGGTGCTGAGCCCGCCCCGGCCAGGACGATGGTGAAGTATTTCCTGGGCCAGAGCGTGCTCCGCAGTTCCTGGGACCAAGTGTTCGCTGCCTTCTGGCAGCGGTACCCGAATCCCTATAGGTACGTGGTTCTCGGAAGGTCAGCCCCCGACACGCACACCCCTAGCTATTTGGAGACCGAAGTGTGGGTGACCCCCGAGTAATGGGGCCAGGAATGACTCCACGTCGAGTTCCCTGTAGGGGATCGCGGGGACCGTGACGGTCTTCAGGGCCCAGAGACCTTGTCGAGGAGGCTGGGCCTGGGCCGTCGTTTACTTGAGACCCTAGTCTACGTCTCAGGGCGGTAAGACAGGAAGAGGCGGCCGCACACGAGTTGGGAGGGATCTTGAGGTTGGAAATCCGGGTGCTTGCCTACTTTGTCCATGGCCTTCTCCGTGGTGTAATAAATCCTGAGGTCCAGCCCTGCTGGAAGGTGTAATAAATCCTGAGGTCCAGCCCTGCTGGAAGGCCCAGGAATCCAGGTCAGTGAGGAGGCGGGAGTTGGAATTTGCCCTGGGATAGGTTTGAGGGATTCTTAGTTCAGATCTGAACTGAGTTCAGATCATGTCACTCTGCAAGATTGCAGAAGGGCATGGCTCGTCTGGGCTAGAAGGCTCTAGACGGGAACTGCAACAGGCAGTCTCTCAGGGCAGGCTCCTGAGGGTCACCTTCACTCTGACACCCGCAGCAAACATGTCTTGACGGAAGATATAGTACACCGGGAGGTGACCCCTGACCAGAAGCTCCTGTCCCGGCGCCTCCTGACCAAGACCAACAGGATGCCCCGCTGGGCCGAGCGACTGTTTCCTGCCAATGTTGCTCACTCGGTGTACATCCTGGAGGACTCTATTGTGGACCCACAGAATCAGACCATGACCACCTTCACCTGGAACATCAACCACGCCCGGCTGATGGTGAGACACCACCCCCCTTTACACTCCCAAAAGTAAAGAACTCCTCAGGTAGACCTGGCTAGAGAGCCATGAGGGAGCCTCTGTGGTCTGAGGCAGGTCTGGGTTACTGAGGAGTGACAGCTGTAGGGTACAACCTCAGATTATCTTCTTTTCCGCCGTTCATCCTCTCTGGATCTGTCCTTTGACCTATTCACACAGTGGAGAAGGGGTATCTGTCTTCAAGTTGTTGCAAGTACTAAACTCAAAGGTACAGCACACATGGAGACTGGGCCCAGAGGAATGATGCTGAGGGAGGGGGTAGTGGTTTCCAAATGGGAGTCCACCAAGCCATAAGGCGCCTTGGATGTGCCTCGAGGGGACAGGTTTTGGGCCGCTAGCCCACTTCGACTAGAGGAGTTGCACTTTTACTTGTATTACCCAGTGGATTTCTGCTGGAGATTTTGGGAAAGGGGGTTCCACATGCCTTCCATCTCTTGCTTTTTAAAAAACTTAAAAACCCATAGTTTAAGGAACATTCTGTGTATCTTGTTACATGTTAATAACCCAAAAGCTTTCAGAGAATTCTGTTTTTCAGCTTATCTTAACAATAACCTCTCTGTTGTGCAAAGAGGGAAGTGAGGTTCAGAGAGGTGTGTTCTGCAAGGTCACGCAGTGAGTGGGGACCTTACTCTGCCTCAGCTGTCTGCAGTCATCTCAGATGGCTACATGAGGGAACTGCGCCTGTGTCTGGTAAATTACCAAGATAGTGATCCAGCTGTGAGAAGTAGCTCTTGAGTGTTTCTCCTGGAAGCAGCGGTCCCATTTTCCTATGTGATAATGGGAACTGTGATGACTGTCAAACGTTCATTTCTACCTGAGCTGTCAGGAAGCTCGAGCTGCAGTGGTGGATGGCATGCTAAACACACTGTGTGTGTCTAAAGATAGGGCCCGGACAAGCCCCTCTACCAATCTCAAGAGACCATTGCCTTCTAGTTAAGGGTCGGAAGAGAGGTCTCACAGAGCAAAATGAAATTTTTTTGGTCTTCCTGCTCTCAATCTGTGAGTGGCACTTGGGGGTGCAGCAAGGGGAAGGATTTCATGGCTTCCCCTCATGAAGAGATGGGATCAAATTGACGTGCAAGTTGGCAAAGTAAAAGACTCCACCGCGATTAAGGTTGGCCTGACTCCCCGCACAGATGGTGGAGGAACGATGTGTTTACTGTGTGAACTCTGACAACAGCGGCTGGACCGAAATCCGCCGGGAAGCCTGGGTCTCCTCTAGCTTGTTTGGCGTCTCCAGAGCTGTCCAGGTGAGGGCGTTGTGGCAGCTGCTGCGGCTCAGGGTTTGGGCACTAAGGCTGGGTTGGGGTTGGCCGGCAGCTCAGAATCCTTCCCCTTTTTCGTTTTTTGCCAGGAATTTGGTCTCGCCCGGTTCAAAAGCAACGTGACCAAGACTATGAAAGGTTTTGAGTACATCTTGGCCAAGCTGCAGGGTGAGTTCTGGGTACTGCTTGGGGAGCCTCATGGGGAGGGGCTAGGGTCAAGTCTGTGCCAGCCATTGCCCTGGGCTGAACTGGGGGCTCCTTGTCTGTCCAGCGAGTGGGGCCTGGCCCAGAGCAGGTTAATGTCATGGGGGGAGGGTGATTAGATGGGCCTTTCAGGCATCATCTAAAGCCAGCTACCTGGTACAGGTGAGGCCCCTTCCAGAACGCTTGTTGAGACAGCCAAGGAAGCCAAGGAGAAGGCAAAGGAGACAGCGCTGGCAGCTACAGAGAAGGCCAAGGACCTAGCCAACAAGGCAGCCACCAAACAGCAGCAGCAGCAGCAGCAATTTGTGTAGCCAGCCTGCCACCACCGCAGCACACCAGACAACTCGGCTCAACTCCCTCTGCCCTGTCCCCATTGTACTCTGTTATTAAAAATCAACTTCCAGCCCTGTCCACTGTCTGGGTGGTGGGTTGGGGGTGGGTGTCCGGTCTGGCATCGGCAGTACACCAGGCACGTTATCCATGTCTGAGCCCAGCCTGCCATCCCCCTTTGGGGCAGCTGAGGACAGAGGTGTGGTGACTTGCCCCCAGTCACAGACCACATGCAGGTGAAGTGACAGTGAACACTAGACTGTAAGCTCCACGAGGGCAGGGCTCTTTGTTTTGTTCTCTGATGTGTCCCAAGTACCTGGAACAGTATCTAGCACATAATAGGTACTCAATAAATATTTGTTGAATTCAGCCCCAGCTCTGGAGTTAGAAAGCCTTGGTTTGAATCTAGACTTCACTACGTCCGGGCTTTGGACCTCAGGCAGCTCACACCAATCAGCCCTGCTGCCACTGTCTGTGCAGTGAGACACAACAGCATCCAAGTGGGGACTGAATTGTACCGCCCATCCCACCAGCAGTGTGGCTGGCTGCTGGTCTCATTTCCTCTTTCCCAGTTTGTGGCTGGGAGTTCCCGTATTTTCGTCAGGCAAGACCATGGACAGGGGAAGTTACAAAAGAGGCTTTTAATGAAAATACTTAAAGTGTGTAGGGGGCAAGGGCCAGGGGACCTGGGCCAGGAAGAGACTTTCCCGCTCCCGTGGGGGCCGCAGAGCCAAGCGCTACCAAACACTGCCTAGAAGGGTGGCCTGGGCTCAAGCTGGCCCCCAGGGCTGGGGAGGGGTGGGGGGCATCCTCCCCAGGAGGGACTGCCTGGCAGCCAGCAGCACGGTGTGGGGAAGCACCTGTTCCCACGCAAGGGTCCTTGTAGTCCATTCCGACAGGTGACTCCGAGCAGCCCGGCAGGGTGTGCCCGGCGGGCGCGCGTCAGAGCCAGGCGCCTGCGCCGTGCGAGTAGCTGTGCTCCCGGCCCGCGCCGAAGCCCCGCAGCAGCTCGGCGTCGCCCGCGAACACCAGGCTCTCCACGTCCACCTCCAGCTCCTCTGCGCAGGAGGGGCCGGTCAGGAGAGCCGGCCCGCCGGGGCCCCCCGACCCCCCAGCCTCAGGCACTCACCTTGGTCCGAGTCGGAGCGCTCGGAGGAGAGGCCCGAGGAGTCCAGGCTGTCCGCCCGCAGCCGCTCGCGCTCGCCCGGCGCCGCCAGCCCGCGGAGCTGCTCCAGCTGCCGCTGCAGGCTCCGCTGCTCGCCGCGCAGCTGCTCCTTGAGCTGCCGCGCGCGCTGCTCCTGCTCCTCCAGCTTCTGCGCACCCCGAGGGAGCAAGGGCCGGGTCAGCGCCTGGGGGCTTGGGCCCCAGCCCAGCACCACTCAGCCCAGGCGGGCAGGGCTGTCCCCACCCGCGTCCTCCGGGAAGCCAGCCCCTCCTGCCCTTCTTACCGCAGCCTGTGACAGCGCTGTCTAGAGCGGGCAGGGAACCACACTAGACCTCTGGGGGGCCTAGTCTAGAGATGTAAAGGACCTGAGGACCCTGGTGCCCGGCAGTAGGGACTAGGGGACGGTGCACACGGGCCAGTACACACTCTGGCTCAGGTTCCAGGCAGTCGCTGCCGCATGGAAACTGGCCCAGTGCCGCCAGGTCTCCCCGTTTCTTTAGGAGAAACTGGGGAGTCCAGGCCAGTTCCACCTGAGAAACGGGCCCATTACCTGGCCAGAGTGTTATTCAGCCACAGTGACGGGACCAACAGGCACCTGTGGGACAGTGCGGATGGTTCCCACGATTGTGACTTATTTGCTGATGGCAAATAGGTCTGTCTCTGCCACAGCCCCCAGTGCCTAGAGTAGGGCCTGGCAGAGCAAGTGCTCAATAAACACTTGGAGGAAACAACGCACACCAGGGGACCTGGGCCTGGGTCCGGAATCTGCCTCTCATCAGCTGTGCGACCCGGCTCACAGCACAGCTGAGCCTGTTTCTTCCTCTGTCAGAAGGGCCAGGAGGGCAGGAAAAGTCCTCTGGTGTCCAGGGCCACTTGTGACATGGCCAGGGCCAGGGCCAGGGCAGCCTCGGCCTTTGAGTCCACACAACCATTCCTGTCCACCAGGGGCGAAGGAGCTCAGCCCAGGAGCAGCAAGGGCCCTGGGGACCAGTGACTGGGGCTTCTCAGTCCTTTCTCTCAAGGTGGCATCGGGACAGGCTGCCCAGCACAGGAGGCCAAGAAGGATGGGGGAGGGGGGAGTGAGGACCAGCCCTCCCTCACATGCGGCCCATCACAGAATGCGACAGCCAGCCCCTCCCCCACACGGAGGAGGAACCGGAAGTCCAGACAGGCCAGGTGACTTGCCCAAGGTCTCCTAGCTCAGATCTAAGTAACAATGGCTGTAACAACAGCAATGAACATGTATAGGGGGAACTCGTTTAAGCCTCAGAACAAGTGTCTGAGTTATTGTCTGCTTTTTTCCATTTACTAATAGATTTGGAAACTAAAAGCAGAGAAAACTGTCCCAAGTCACACACTTGGGCTATGAGCACAGGTCTCTCTTTTTTTTTTTTTTGAGACAGAGTCTCGCTTTGTTGCCCAGGCTAGAGTGAGTGCCGTGGCATCAGCCTAGCTCACAGCAACCTCAAACTCCTGGGCTCAAGCAATCCTCCTGCCTCAGCCTCCCGAGTAGCTGGGACTACAGGCATGCGCCATCATGCCCGGCTAATTTTTTCTATATATTTTTCTATATATTTTTAGTTGGCCAATTAATTTATTTCTATTTACAGTAGAGACAGGGTCTCACTCTTGCTCAGGCTGGTTTCCAACTCCTGGCCTTGAGGGATCCTCCCGCCTCGGCCTCCCAGAGTGCTAGGATGACAGGCGTGAGCCACTTGCCTGGCCGAGCCCAGGTCTCTTTCCCAAGTTCCACGCAGCCCTCCACACTGTGCCCCTCCGCACATCCCGGCAAGCTGGCCGGTGCGGGGCGCCTCGTACCTGGATGTGTGTGCGGGCGCGGCGCAGCAGGCTCAGGGTGGTGTACCGGGCACAGTCAGCCCCCAGGGGCATCTGCTGCTTCAGCCGCTCCAGGCAGCGCTTCAGCTGGGCCCTCCTGCAGGGAAAGGGGTCTGGAGGGCAGGGCCAGCCCCAGCTTGCTGGCCTGAGGCATGGCGGGGGAGGGAAGGCCATAGGGCCGTGTCCATGGGGCCTGGTGCGGTGGGGACAGGCCGGGACTCACCTGCGCTTCTCCAGCTCATTGTGCACAGACCTGCCAACGCCAGGGAGGGTGGGGTGAGGGGTGGCCAGCTACTGCCCACCCCCAAAGCCCTGGGCCCTCTGTGGCTCAAGACCCACAACAGATGTGTACCCCCAAAAAATCCCCCTGTGGGGACTTCGAGTCGGCCTCACCCCTAGGCCGGGGTCGGGGGGGTCAGAGACATACATGCGGCCGAATGCTAAGACCAGCCTGCCTAGGTGGCCGCGGGGTCCAAACAAGGCCCCGAGCTGGCCGGTCAGGAAGAGCTTCCCAGGCAGAGGGGACAGCTGGGTGCGGACACAGAGGCTCCCCAGAGCAGGTGGTGGACCGGGCAGAGGGGACGGCGCGGGCAAAGGGCTGCTGCGCGGGGAGCAGAGGGGTCTGCTGTGCGCGGAGCAGGAGCAGGACCCACACCTGTCTGGCTCACATCAGAGGTGCCCAAGAAAGCATCCTCGAAGGAACAGCAAGGTGTGTGTCCGTGTTTGGCGAGCGCTCTGAGCGCCTCCTGGCCCACAAGATGCCAGCAGCAGGGAGGTGGCGGGCAGGGTCAGGGCCCTTCCCCCTCAGCCCCGCGGCCGGCCCTCCTCACCGCCCACTGTCCAGCGCGCCAGCGGCCTGCGGGGGGTGCGTCCTCCTGCGGTGCGCGGGGCCCGGGCTGCGGTGCGGGCACAGGGACGCGTAGCCGTGCTCGGCCTCTGCCAGAGAGCGCCCGCGCGTCAGACGGGGCTGGACCTGGTCCCCGCAGGGCCCGGGACGGCGCGTCAGGGACCGGCTTCGGCGCCAGGGCCACTTCCCCAGCCCTCCCGGCCCTCCCGGCCCGCCCGCCCCGGACGCATCCTTCGGGCTGGGGCGCGTGCCAGCCGGGCCGCCGTCGGGGCCGCCCGCCCGCCCTCACCTCGCTCACGGCGCTCCAGGAACTCGGCCGCCTGCAGCAGCACCTGGATGCTTGTGGCCACGGGCTCCATGCCGGCGGCAGGCTGGCCGCGCGCGGGCCGGGGCGGCGGCCGCACCACTTTTGTTACAATGTAACTGACACGGGGCCACAAACACAGCCGGCCCCGCCCCCGGGACGCCCCGCCCCCGGGACGCCCCGCCCCCGGGACGCCCCGCCCACCGGACGCCCCGCCCACTGCCCCCGCCCCCGGGACCCCGAGCCCTCCCTCCGCGAGCCGGCACGGACTCTCACGAGGCGGGCGCGGGCGCCGGTTCCGGGCCTGGCCGCGAGGCGAAGCCCCGGGCTGGGCTGCCGCGTCCTGCCCGCCTCGCCCCACCCCGCGGGCCGGCTCCCCGGCGCCCTCCGGCCTCCTTCGCCGCCCGCGCCGGGCCCGCGCCCCTCAGAGCCGCGCCGCGGAGCCGGCCCGGGGGCGCGGGGCCGGCCGCTGCACGTGGGCGCCGCGGGCCGGGCCTGCCGGAGCCGCCCGCCTCATTGCCGCCGCCGCCGCCCGGACTCGCTGTCGTCACCCTCGGGGCGGGGCCTGCCGGGCGCCGCCCGCTCATTCGCCCGCCGCCCGCCCGGACTCGCTGTCGTCACCCTCGGGGCCGGGCCGCGGGGCCTCCGAGGCGCCATTGGCTGGCGCCGCCCCGCCCTCGCGCGCCGCTGGCCCGCGCGGTCGGGCGGGAAAAGGAGCAGGTTTCAAATTTGAAAACCGAGCGGCGGCGCGGGCGGGCCGGGCCGGGCGGCGCGGGCGGAGGCGCGGTGCCTCGCCCGGCTGGGCCCCGGCTTCCCGCCGCGCGCCTGGGGGCAGGCTCCGGCGCTCCGTCCGCGGGAGCCACGGCCGCGCCAGCGTCCCGCCGGGCCGGACCCGGGAGCACGCGGCCGGCCTCTAGGGAGGCCGGGGTTCCGGGCGCCCCGCGACGGGCCGCGGCGGGAGCGGAGCCGCGACAGCCGCGGGTCTCCAGGCCGCCCAGCCACACGCGGGCCTCTGCCTCCCAGACAGCCCTGGTGCCCTCCGCGGGGGCCAGGGGCCTTCCTTTTCAATTATGTTTTCTTTTTAAAAATTGTATCCCCATTTAACAGATGAACAGGAGCCCTTTTTTTCCTTTTTTGAGACAGAGTCCCGCTTTGTCGCCCAGGCTAGAGCGAGTGCCGTGGCGTCAGCCTAGCTCACAGCAACCTCAAACTCCTGGGCTCAAGCAGTCCTCCTGCCTCAGCCTCCCGAGTAGCTGGGACTACAGGCATGCGCCACCATGCCTGGCTAATTTTTTTTTTTTATGTGTTTTTAGTTGGCCAACTAAATTTTTTAGTAGAGACGGGTTCTCACTCTTGCTCAGGCTGGTCTCAAACTCCTGACCTCAAGCGATCCTCCCGCCTCGGCCTCCCAGAGTGCTGGGATGACAGGTGTGAGAGTCCTGGTAGACACAGGCGCGTCTCAGTCAGGCCTCAGTTCCTTTTTCCTTGGAGTTTCTCTGAGACTCGGTCCCAGAGGAGCTGCTGACGGCTCAGGCGGGAACTGCTGCCTGGGATTCCCTGGACACCAGGCGCTGTGCGGGAGGCTGCAGTACACAGCGATGGCCAGCAACAGACAGGGCCCCGCCTTTGCAGAGCTCACAGGCTTGAGGGAGGGACCGATACATGACAGTGGTCACACACAGGTAGAGTTCCGGCTCTGACAGGTCCTCACAGGAAGAGACGCGCTGAGAGCACATTCTAAGGAGCACCTGACCTCATCAGGGAGGTCAGAGGTTCCTCTGGGGAAATGGATGCATAGGTGTTATCTATGTATAGGAGGGATGGAAGAGGATTCTAGACAAAGGAACAGCATGTGCAAGGGTCCTGAGGCTGAAAGGAATGTGGCAGCATAAAGACAAAGAAGGCCAGCCCGGCTAACAGAGCAAACAACCTGGCGCGGCCTGACAGTGGAGGGGCCAGCAGGGCTCAGACAGGCTGATGGCTTCCCCAAGCCCCCACTTGCAATCAGCTATGTCTGAAGAAAGGAGTCATATGGCATAGGAATGAATTTCCGATTTCATTTCACTAAAGTCAGCGCCCACACACAGTGCAAGCACGAACCTTCTAGTGAGACGTCTGGGACCCAGGTGGCCTGGCCTGGAGTTCGGATAGGATGGGCGCAGGTCTGAAGGAGGAGGAGTCCCAGCAGGGGTAGGGAGGTGGGCACACTTGAGGTTGTGGAAGTGAGGCGGGGGTCAAAGGGGGCCTGGAGCACCCACTCCGAGGAAGTTGGCCCTCGTCTTGGAGCTGTGCAGGGGACTGAAGCCAGGGAACAGCGTGCGGGGTGGTGTCAGCCCGACCCCAGCCTGCCGTGAATATGGGGCAGGGCACCTGGCCAGGGGCAGACAGGGAAACAGCTCCCGGGGAGCAGAGAAGCGGGGAAGGACCAGGCTTGGACCAGCAGTGGTCCTGCCCCAAGCCCTCGATGCCCCTCTGAGAAAATGCTAGAGTTGGTGCCCTCTGAGCCCAGGACTAGACAGAGGAGCTCTGGTGCTCCTGCCACCTCAGCAGTGACCAATTCTAGAACCTTGTCCTAGCCCCCCTAGGGTCCTGCACTATCTCTGGGGGCTCCAGACTGCAGCCTGGGACCTCCCAGCCCCTTGGCCTTGCCTGCCCGAGTCATCCTGGCTGTGCTGTCTGCACTTCAGCGCATGTTCTGCTGGGGACTAGTGTCCTCTGGGCTCCAATGCACAGAGCCTGATGTGTGCGCTGGGGGGGAGAGGGGAGGGGGACTCCCCCTCCCTTGCCCCGTCAGGACCCCTTGAAGAGGGCAGCCTACCCTGGGCTCACCGTCCTGTCCCACCCACAGGGTGCAGGTGGAGACGGCCCTGCTGTGCCCCCAGGACCCTTTCACTTCTCCCTGCAGGGGAGAGAGTGGGGGGGCCGAGGGGGGCTGGGGCCTGGCTCAGACCCTGCATCCCTGCCCAGCCATCCTCCCCTCTCCCCAGAGAGCAGCGTTCCTTAGCCATGGCACGACCCCGGCTCCCCGTGGCCCTCCAGACAAAGTTCGGGCTGGGCCGTGCCCCTCCGCCTGCCATGTCAGGGACGTGCCATACTTTTGCCCATCTCCCTGCCTCCGCCAGCTCGCCTCAAATGTCACTTCCTCCAGGAAGTTCCCAGAACTTCCTCCTTCAGAGGAAGTTAGTAACCATCTCTCAAACGGAAATTCCTCTGGCCCCCGAATCCTGGTGGTTGCCACGAGGTGGCGCTCGCATGCTTTTGGCGCCAGCGCCAGCCCGTGCTCCTCTGGGACGTTGCACGAGGTGCTAGCAACTCGCGTGGGTTTGGGCGACTCGCTGGCCCCATCCGGCAGGTCCAGGCAGCACTGGTGGGCGAACAGACTACACGCCTTCTGTCGTACCGCGCTAGGTAGGGGAGCTTCCCCAGGCAGACCCAATATCGAACCCGTAACACATTCGGGTAACGGAGATGCGACCTCGTCCCACAAAGCCTGTTCACACCTTCCAACCTCCACCCCATCCTGTATCGCATTCCCGTATTCTCCCAATCCAACTCACGCCCACGAGGACTTCGCAAGCCGGCTTTGGGATCACAGCACACACGGGCCCCTTATCAAGGCATCCCAGGGAAGTCTCTTTGGTGGCCCCAACCATTTTAGCTACTCACGTCCACGCGGCCTTGGGTCCCCAGCAGGGGTTGGCCGTTGTCTTGATTAAATCACAGGACCACCGCCCGAGTGCTTGCAGATCACTTGCCGTCTTTGCCTTCTGGATTTTCTAATTCCTCCAAATCAGGGTGAATAAAACAGACTTGTTTAGGGCCCTTCAATACTAGGGGACCAGTAGATGGCCCCAACAGTCCACCCAGCTTCCAAGAGTGTTGGGTTACAACCTTGTTTCAACCCCATCAATGTCTGCTTTATTCATCCCATTTCTTTTTCTTTTTGTTAAGAGAGTCTCACTCTGTTGCCCGGGCTACAGTGCCATGACGCCAGCCTAGCTCACAGCAACCTCAAACTCCTGGGCTAAAGCAATCCTCCTGCCTCAGCCTCCCGAGTAGCTGGGGCTACAGGTGTGCACCACCATGCCCGGCTAATTATATTTTATTTATTTATTTATTTTAGTTGTCCAGCTAATTTCTTTCTATTTTTTTTTTTTTTTTTTTTTAGTAGAGATGGGCTCTCGCTCTTGCTCAGGCTAGTCTCCAACTCCTGAGCTCAAAGGATCCTCCCGCCTCAGCCTCCTACCCTAGAGTGCTAGGATTACAGGTCTGAGCCACCACTCCCGGCCTTCATTAGGGTTTTGAAGTTTTAGCAAATAGAACCTACACATATTTTGTTAGATTTGTAATTGAATATGTCAGGTTTTATTGTTGTCATTAAAAAGTGGTAGTCTATTGATTTTTGTTTTTACAATTATTTGTTGCTAGTAAATAGAAAAATAACTTTAGTACGTTGACTTTGTATCCCATTACCTTGATCAATTAACATATTGGTTCTAGTGGGTTTTTTCCTAAAATTGTATTATAAAAAATTTCAGGCCGGGCGCGGTGGCTCACGCCTGTAATCCTAGCACTCTGGGAGGCGGAGGCGGGCGGATTGCTCGAGGTTGGGAGTTCGAAATCATCCTGAGCGAGACCCCGTCTCTACTAAAAATAGAAAGAAATTAATTGACCAACTAAAAATATATATACAAAAAACTAGCCGGGCATGGTGGCACATGCCTGTAGTCCCAGGTACTTGGGAGGCTGAGGCAGGAGGATCGTTTGAGCCCAGGAGTTTGAGGTTGCTGTGAGCTAGGCTGACGCCACGGCACTCACTCTAGCCTGGGCAACAAAAGTGAGACTCTGTCTCAAAAAAAATAAATAAATAAAATAAATAAAAAATTTCAAACATACAGAAAAGTTGAAAGAATGTTATACTGAACATCTCTGTACGCACTACTTAGAGTCTAACATGAACATTTTATGCTTGCTTTATTGTATATCCACCCACATAACCATTCGTGGCCGGGCGCTGTGGCTCACGCCTGTAATCCTAGCACTCTGGGAGGCCGAGGTGGGCGGATTGCTCAAGGTCAGGAGTTCAAAACCAGCCTGAGCAAGAGCAAGACCCCGTCTCTACTATAAATAGAAAGAAATTAATTGGCCAACTAATATATATAGGAAAAATTAGCCGGGCATGGTGGTGCATGCCTGTAGTCCCAGCTACTCGGGAGGCTGAGGCAGGAGGATTGCTTGAGCCCAGGAGTTTGAGGTTGCTGTGAGCTAGGCTGACGCCACGGCACTCACTCTAGCCTGGGCAACAAAGCGAGACTCTGTCTCAAAAAACAAAACAAAAAAACATAACCATTCATCATCTTAATTTTTCAATGCATTTCAAAATAAGTTGTAGCCCAAGCCATACTTCCCTCTAAATAGTTCAGCATTTAGTTAGGGTTCAACATATGTTGATAGTCATTTTTTTCCTTTTAAGAGACAAAGAAGGTCAGTATATCATGATAAAGGGGGCAATTCATCAAGAGGACATAATTGTAAACACATACGCAGGCAGTGTTGGAGCACCTACATATGTAAAGCAAATATTAAGATTTCAGAAGGGAGAGGTGGACTGCAATACAAGGAGAGTAGGGGACTTTTCTACAATGGACAGATCATCTAGACAGAAAATAAATAAGGAAACATTGATCTTTACACTTCAGACCGAATGGAACTAACTTTAGTATCTGTCAAATCAGGAGTCTTAATACCTTCAGCTGCTCGAGCATGGACACCCCTGGGAAACCACCCAGGAGCTTTTAAAACTGCCCCTGCCCCGGCTCCCCCTGACCTGCTGAACCTGAAGTGGAGAAGGCGGCAGGCGCTTCTTGGTTCTCCAGGTCAGTGACGTGTAGCCACGGTTGACAGCCACACAGCACAAGATACCAATTTATCTAATAATTCAGGAATTCGAGGAAGCCAAGTTAGAGCCAAAAATTAAAGGTCAACTATGGTGAGTGTGTTGACCATTATGCAACCTACACGTGTAACGAAATTGCACTTGCTTGCTATAAATTAAAAAAAAAAAAATAGTGAGCTGATGACGTGGTTGTGGCAGCCACGGAGAGTTCCAGACTCTGGGCCTCAGCTCTGCAGGCCAGTGTAGACATGTTCCCCACCTCACCTCACGGATTCCTGGCATCCGTGTGGGCGTTGCGGAATGGAATGAGTTAATACGTGTCTACTGCTCACAAGAATGGCATACAGTAAGCACTTGATGTTTGCTACTTTTTCAAGAAACTGTTTTGGGAAAGTGTTCAATAAAATATTTCAATAACAAGGATCATGATTACCCTTAAGGCTCGGGGACAGGCTCCCGCACCTGTGAAGGAACAGCCGGCAGCTCCCGGTGGCTGTGCGACATCCCTTGGTGTCTGCCCTGTGGGAGGGAGCTTCTGCACATGCACAGGACACGTGGGAGGCCGACGAGGGTGACCCCGGTGGGTCGATGCAGGGCTCCAGAGAGCGAGGCTGGGGGACTGAGGGGAAATAAATTCTTACTCTCGCTTCGTGGCCTTTTCTACTGTATTTTTTGCAATGAAAATGTTAGAAATGTTAAACGGCTGCAGCAGAAAGGTCAGGTTTGCTTTTGCTTTTAAGAGGGAGTCTCGGGTGTGAGCAAACTGAGCAGGAAGGGGGCAATGCTGAGCCCGCCAGAGGAGGGCCAGGGCCAGGACTAGAGCCAGAGGCTCTGGGCGGGGCAGACTCCTGCTGCCCCGGGGGGAGGCCTGGGTGGTGGCGGCAGACCACAGCCTGGGGGGGACGGCGTGGAGGCTGCAGGGGCAGTGCTCCCCTTCAGTGCCACTGTGCTCCACTGCCTGTCACCATTTGTCCCCCAAGGCACCCCAGAGGGGATGCCACTCCTGACCCCAGCCTTCTTCCCGGCCCCCCCCAGCCCTTTTCTTGTACATCATGCCGGAGCTCCCTGCCACTGCGCCACCCGCATGGTACCCCACGCGCCCCCAATCCTCTCCCCAGGGGCCTTGCACCTGTGGGAGATGGCAGGGGGCCCTGTCCCCGACATATCGCTTGCTGAGTGACACTGGGACCTCCGAGAGCCATGCTTCCCCACCTGGGGAATGGGGCAAGCCTGGAGCTCCCTGCCTGAGGCTGAAGCTGCAAGTCGTGAGGAGAAAGAGAAGAGCACATCCCTAAGGACAGTCACGCGGCTGAGGTTGGTTAAGTCACTTTATTAGCAAATGGTCACTCACACTCTGGGCCCCACCAAACCGTCCCTCCGGCCTCGCCTGAGCGTCCGCCCTGGGAAGCGGCTCAGGCCGAGCGGGATGCTCAGGTCGCCCAGGTGGGGCCCGTCCGCTGCCACCCCACACGCCACAGAACAAAGCCCACTGCCCGTGTTCTCGGGGGCCCACCCCGCGCGGCCGGGCCCCTCCAGTGTCTGCCAGCCGCCTGCAGGGGCGTCGGCCCAGCTCCGGGCCGGCCCCTATCCCCAGATGGCGGCCCTGGGACAGCCCTGCCGCAGCTGCGGGCGCCAGACCCTCCTCCCTGGCCCTGCCGCCTGCGTGTCCCTGCTGGGCAAGAAGCAAAATGTACGAAAATACTTTAATCATTTCTTTGAAACAGTTAAGAAATAAGGTCGTCTGTTGTTCTTTTACAATCCCAGTAAAAAAAAGTTCACATCAGTCCCTGGGCCGAGGTGAGGCCCTTCCCGGGCAGGCGCCTCCGAGCGCTCAGTAGAAGCGCTTGTTCCGCTCCTGCCGCTTCTGGAAGACCACGGCGCCCACCACCGCGCACACGATGATGCCCAGGAGCGCGCACAGCAGCAGCAGGAACACGCGCCAGCCCGTCAGCGGCCCGCTGCGGAAGTTCCCCGTGGGGTCGTCCACGTTGTCTGCGGCAGGAGAAAGCGCGGTTGGAGGGCACGGCGGGTGGGCTGGCTCCTGGGACTCGGGTCTAACCGTCCCGACACCAGGGTGACTCCCTCACCCCTGCCTGCCTGACCCCCGGGCCTCCCACGCCCAGCCACGGCCGGGCACACGCTGACGTCGGTGAGCCTGAGAAGGCACTGGGGGTAGGGGGGGCGCCACCGGCCGTGGAAGCCCTCGGCAGCCGGGAACCCTCTGGCCAAGGCTGCAGAGCAGGGTCACGGCAGCGTTTGTGTGGCCCCCAAAACACCTGAAAGCAACCCGAATCTTATAAAAAGCAGGATGTCACACAAAACATGGGACTCTGCTTTCTCCTATAGAAAGGCCCGGGCCGCACACTCAGCACGGGGACCCGGGGCTGGGCCTCGTTCCTCCCACAGAACGTCAGTCTGTGCGGACGGCGCGTGGCTATTCAGTGCCCGGGAAAGACTCGGGCTTTGGGTCTTGCAGAAATGCAAGCTAACACCCTGGCCCCCCTTTTCCTGCGAGGAAAGTGGAGGGATCCGCTCCCGGGCCAGCAGCAGCACCTGCCTGCAGGGGCTCACGGGCGCGGGCGCAGGGGCCCGCACCCCGGCTTTACCAGCCACCCTCCCGGGCGGCCAGCACACGAGGGAGCAGCCGCCCTCGCTTCGGCAGAGACCACACGGCCAGGGCGTCCTCACGGACAGACCCTCTCAAGACTTCTGCCTCATTCGTTTGCTCGAAACTCACTGGAGCTGACTGGACCCGGGCTCCCGGCCTCCAGGAGCTCAGGCAGGGCCAGCTAGTGCCACTCCCAGGGACAGGGCAGACCCAAGAGCCCAGACCTCAACCACAACTGGACCAGGCGAGGGCCACCCAGACCCGGGCAGGGAGGGTGGGCACACATGCACCTTTGGGTGACTTGAGGAAACTGACGCTGGGCTCGATCTTGGTCCAGTCGATGCTGTCCTCATCAGGCGTGTGCTCGACCATCAGCTGGAACAGCTTCATGGAGATGATGTCATGATTGTCTGTCGGACCAGAGTTACCGTCACGGCCTAGAGCCAGCCCCAGGGCGCGCGGCCCAAGGCCCTCCCCAGAGAGAAGCTGCTGCCCCAACCACACAGGCTGGCCGGGCGCCAGGGAGGACACTGCTCCTGCCCAGCCCCCCACAGGCAGTATCCAGGGGCCGGAATCTCCCGGGACTGAGCGGTAAGAAACCTGGGAGGAGGCAGAGCGGAGAGAAGAGCAGGGGCCTCGTAAGCAGATCATCCGGGTCTAAATCCTGGGTCTGCTGCCCTCTTTGGGGCCGGTTCCTCATTTGTAAGACAGGAGTGACAGTCACCACCTCAGCCAGTTGTCACGGTGAGTGACTGAGAACGTGTGCTGGCACACAGGATCTCCTATCCGACAGGAACATACTTAAAACAGAAACCAAAGCCGGGCACGGTGGCTCACGCCTGTAATCCTAGCACTCTGGGAGGCCGAGGTGGGCAGATCATTTGAGTTCAGAAGTTCGAGACCAGCCTGAGCGAGAGCGAGACCGCGTCTCTACTAAAAATAGAAAGTAATTAGCTGGACAACTAAAAATATATAGAAAAATTAGCCGGGCATGGTGGCGCACGCCTGTAGTCCCAGCTACTCGGGAGGCTGAGGCAGGAGGATCACTTGAACCCAGGAGTTTGAGGTTGCTGTGAGCTAGGTTGATGCCACGGCACTCACTATCTAGCCTGGGCAACAGAGCGAGACTCTGTCTCAAAAAAACCAAAAAACAGAAACCAGATGAGGACCAGCACAGTTGACAAGCCTGATCCTCCCAAGGGCTGGCAGCCGCCAGATGCGCCTGGGCAAGACTGCGTACAGGACACGGGTAACAACCCTGCCACCAGCTACGGGCCCAACCCTAACGCACAGCGACTGAGCCTGGGGAGAGCTGGGAAGGGCCATGTCCAGCACGGACAGGAAGAGCCTCGGCTTGTAACAACTGGCCGCTCATTGTAGAGATGAAGAGGCTGAGGCTCAGAGCCCAGATGTGGGTCCCAGCCAGCCCGACTCAGCTGTGAGTTCGGCTAACAGGCTGGAATCTGAGGCAAGGCCTGTTCACAGAACGGAAATTTCTGGAGCTGAGAGAACGAAGCACTGATCAGCAGGGAGCTGGCAGTCAGGGGGGCAAGGCGTAGCATGCAGTCTTGGAGGTGGAGTGGCCCAGTGGGACAAGGACCACCTCTGAGGTGACTCCAGTTGCCACCTGGGCTCTGCTGCTTCCTGCTTGTCATCTTAGGGAAAATCCCTTCAACTCTCAAGTTCCCTGTGGTCTCAGCGTGTGAAAGGGGAAGAGGCCACTACCTGCCTAAGCAGAGCACATATGGCGGCCCCCTAGGATACCAGGCGCTGACGGCCTGGTGAGCGTCAGAGCCGCCCTGGCGGCCGGCCATCCCCACCACTCTCCACCGAGCGCCCCTGCCCCAGAGCTGGCTCTGCCCGTCAGGAACCTTCCGAAGACACGTGCTGCAATGCTGGCAGACGGAATCCACGGCAACGCGAGAGCTTCAGGGGAAGGGTTACGGTGGAGCCACAGACGAGACAAGACTGGCAGAGAGGCTTGTCAGGCCGTGCTCTCCTCCTTTAGGCATGCAACTGACATCTCCATATTAAAAACGTAAGAACAAAATCCCAAAACGATGAATGTTCTGGGGGCGAAGTGGACCTAAGCACTTCCATGGCGAGACGGGAGGGTCCTGGCCAGCGGGCAGGTTACGGGCCCTGGAAGGGTTTACTCTGAGGATAAACCACCCTCTGCCGGTCCTCCCTGTCCGTACCAGTTCTGGTCAGCAGGAGCTGGCCCCGGGCCTGGTGCCTTCTGAGGGCCCCGAGCAGAGGACCAAGGACCACAGCCGAGGGCCACCATCAAGTGCCCCAGGCCTGGCGCCCAGCACGGCCTGCAGCGGCTAGAGGCGCCCCAGTGCTTACTGAGCGCCCGCCACGGGCCAAGCAGGACAGACCCTTGCCCCGACTCCATGGGCCTCACCATTTAGTTGATAGATTCAAAGATGGTAAATGTTATGAAGACAAATGAAGCCGGGAAAGGTGATGGGAGTGTGTGGGGACTGGAGTGGGCAGGATTTTAAATGACGGACTCAAGGAAGGCCCCACTGGGGTGACATCGGGCAGGACCCTAGGAGGCCAGGGGAGACATCTAGTGCAAAGGCCCAAAGCAGGAGGCTGCAGGCGTGTCCTGCATCTGAGGGGCAGCGGCAGGCTGAGGCACGCAGGGGAGCAGCAAGCAAGGAGTCAGAGGTGGCAGGGCCGGCAGCGCACGACCCCTGCTGGGACGGTGGCCCTGACTCAGTGAGGTGGCAGCCAGGGCAGGGGGAGGCCGCCCGCGGGCAGAGCGGGATTAGGCTGCTGTGCTGGGAAGAGGCCGCACGGGCCGGCATGGAAGGAGGGGACCACTCGGAAGGCTCTGTGGTCCCCGAACGGGAGAGGACACTGGCTTGGGCTGTGCAGGAGTCGCGGCAGGACCTGCTGATGGATTAAAGGTGGCCTGGGAGGAAAACCAGCCGTCCAGAATGACACCAGAGCTTTTTGGCCTTAGTAGACAGAGGTGCCACTGGCACCCTGGGCCCCAGCAGTGGGCACACCGGGGCTGAGGCGAAGGGCCGAGGCCGACGCGGGTCTGGAGACAGACACCCGGGAGTCGCCGCCACCTGAACGCAAAGCCTCCTGTGGGCGGGGAAGGTCGCCAAGAGACTGCTCGAGGCCCGAGGCCCCACAGGCCAACGGATGGCGGGGAGAGCAAGAGGGCCCTCGAGCATGGGGAGGAAGCAGGGGATGGTGAGCGTTACTGGGAGCCAGCCCCGCACACCAGGGAAGGCGCGGGCCGAGAATGGCCCCTCGCTCGCCCGGACTCACCAGACAGGTCGCCGGTGCCCGCGGAGGCTCCAAAGTAGTAGCCGGTGGGCAGACGCACGCCCGTGATGTCAATGCAGTTCTTCCACTCGTTCTTGTCCTCCAGGTCCGTCATCACCTGTGGGTGCCAGCGCGTCACTCACCCCGCAGGCCCGGCGCCCACTCCCAGCCCCCTAGAGGCCAGCACCCACCCCCGGCCCCCTAGAAGCCAGCGCCCACTCCCGGCCCGCCGGCCGCCAGCCCCTCCCACCTGCTCACCGTCAGGCGGCCGCGGGAGTAGCGCACAGCCAGGAAGGTGTCGTGATCCCGGTTGCGGAAGTCGGCCGTGCAGCCTGCCAGCTCGGTCCAGCGCCCATCCTTGCTATGGTCGTAGGACAGGGAGCCATTGTTCACCATCACCGAGATGTACGGGAACACGCGCTGGGACCAAGACACCGGTTACTCCAAGACCAGCCCTGCCGGTGGGGGAGCGGGGTCCCCGCCACCCCAATCCCTGGAGGCTCCTTTTGTGCAGGCAGGCAGCAGGGGGACGTGTCGGTCCCCATCCTCCAGCCGACTGCCCAGTGCTTCCCTGCCTGCTGGGCAGGACAGAGCAGGGGCCTACCTCAGTGGTCTCGTCGTTGGGGTACGTGTCCAGGAAGATGGCCAAGCCATGGAAGTTGTCTTTGCTTCCAAACACAGGCCCTGCAATCATAAGGAGATGCTCTCACAGTGGGAGATACGGCAGGTGTCCCACAGGGACCTGAAAGACAAGGCATGCCCATCTGGGCGGGGCCAGTGAAACCAGACCACGGCCCAGGAGAGAAGGGCCCTCTAAGGGGAAGGCTGCGGGGGAAGGGCTCGGGGCACGGCAGAGGGCCCCAAGCTCGCAGGCTGAAGCAGGAGGGGCAGCGGCCTGGCCACGTGCTGAGGTGAGCGGCAGGTGCCAAAGGGGTGCCCAGTCTATGAAAACAGGTGGAGCTGCAGGAAGGACCCCTCCAGCGGAGGCTCCACCCTCCACACCAGGGGCTGCACACTTTCTGTGAAGGGCCAAGAGGAAACATCTCAGGCTTTGTGGGCCACACGCAGCCTCCATTACAGTCTTCATGGTCTTGCTTTTTAAAAAACATAACCCTTAAAAATAAGCACGGTCAGAACCAGGCCACCAAGGGGCAGAACGCTGGGCCGCGGAAGCCGGCCGCTCGCCTCCCCTCAGAGGCCGTTCTCTCAGGGCCAAGCTGCCCCCGGGTGCAGAGCCTCGTCTGTGACAAGCAGCAGTGTCTTCTCAGCAGAGCAGAGTGCAAGGTCCTTGGCCATCCCCTTGCCCTGCCCACCCCCCCTCCCCGGCAGGCTGCAGTCAGTCCCCAGCTAGCGCCCCCACCCCAGGGCCCCGCCCACCTGGCGCGAGGCGGTCCCGGGTGTACCACAGGGCGATGCCGTCTCCGTGGAGGTTCTTCTTCCCCGAGCCGTGGACTCTGAAGTGGACGTGCATCTCCCAGTCCTTGAGAAAGCAGGGCTGCGGGGGGCAGGGGCGGCTCAGCGCTCCCGGGGCTTTCCAGGAGACTGGAGGTGGCACTGGCACAGCCCCCACCACGGCCTGACACTGGGACAGTGCCAGGGGCACAGTGCCAGGGGCAGGGCCACATGAGTCACTGGCTGCGGACCCCAGGTGAGGCACGAGGGCCACAAGGGAGCAGGGCTGCCTGAGGCCCAGACGCCAGGCCCCAGGCTGCTCCTGAGCGCGGCTCTCGCTGACTTGCCCTCACTTGCCCTCCGCCTGCGCCACCCTCAGCCCTGCTTGCTCGCCCCCCCAGCGCTCCTGCCCCGGGTCTCACGGGGTCTTCACCCATTTGAGCCGTATGCTTTACAGGGAACAAATTCAGAGGCGAGAGCCCTCGTCCACAGCAGGTAAGTGGATTGTCTTGATTTGCACCCAGCTCTTTCTGACTCTGAGGCTTCTGCTCTGTCGTCTACACTTCCCGCCGCCTCCAGGCCTGTCCCGTAAATCGCATCAACTCCCTTTGGCCTCCACACCCACTGTCCTCGCTTCCCACCACCCTTCCCAAGTGAGGAAAATCAGGCTGAGCCAGCGGCACCCAGGACTCACACCCACCCAGGCCGGGCTGACTCCCAAACCCGACTCCTGGTCGGCACCCCTCCCCAGCCCGGCCTGAGCGCCGTGCCAGCGTTGCCGCCGGCGTTGGGGGCTGGCCGGCCGTGCCCTGGGGCCTCTGGGCCCCATGGAGAGAAGGAGACGCCCCGCGGCCATGAATCCAGGGCGGAGCCGCCGGGGACGACTGTGGAGTCAACACAGACCCCAAGAATCCACTTTGGAGAAGGCCATGGACGGCACGTGAACAAGCGCCCACACAAACACCCCTCAGAAAGGCAAAGTAAAGCGAGACGCCCTTGAACTATCAGAACAGCGACTGTGAGAACGGTCATTAACACCCAGCACTGATGAGGATGCACAGAAACGAAGCTCTCAAACCACGGGCAGGACAGTGAATGCTCACGTTTTCTTGGGGGCAGTTGGGCTGTTGCAGCTTTTAACAGAGTATGGCAGATCCCACAGGTACTTACACTTAAAGATATCAGAGACTAAGAGAACAAAAGCCAGTGTCGCCAGCACTGGTGGCCGCAGGGAGCACGGCAGAGGGGCAGGCGGAGAGAAGCCCGAGCAGTCGCAGCCCCGCAGCCGCCCGGAGCCCCGCAGCCGCCCGGAGCCCTGCAGCCGCCCGGAGCCCTGCAGCCGCCCGGAGCCCTGCAGCAGCCGCCCGGAGCCCTGCAGCCGCCCGGAGCCCTGCAGCAGCCGCCCGGAGCCCTGCAGCAGCGGCCCGGAGCCCTGCAGGGCGGCACAAAAACCTGAGCACGCGGAGGCTGTTTCTCCCAGCGACGACGCAGGGGAAGCTCCACGCGCTGGGAGGCGACCAGCTGAAGCAGCAGCTGCAGACCTCGCAGCAAAGCCCACAAAGATCTCCGAGTTTGGACCTGCCACAGGTAGTCAGACGACAGAGAAAGCGTCACCGTACCCACCTAACTTGGATGGAGGAAGCCTAAAGAAACTGTTCCAACTCCTGCCCCAAAAAGCCCTTCAGCAGCAGCGGCTTTTAATGAAGATGAACATGGCGAAGCGGAGGAGACGCCTCCAGGAGCAAAGGTGAGGGAGAACGGGGAAGGGACACGCCAGCACCGGCTGGACCAAACTCCTTCCATAAAGGGAAGCGCGGCTTTCCGACCACCACAGGCTCTGGGAGCGAGACAGAGTCTCATCTTGGAGATGTCCGTGACCAAGACAATTAAATGATGTGTTCTGAAACTGGGGTGTGTGTATGTGGGGGGGGGGGCGGTAAAGTTAAAAGGAACAGTTTCCTTCTTTAAAGAATGCTATAAGACTGTATTTGGGTCGGGTGCAGTGGCTCACACCTGTAACCCTAGCACTCTGGGAGGCCGAGGCAAGAGGATTGCTCGAGGTCAGGCGTTCAAGACCAGCCTGAGCAAGTCTCTACTAAAAACAGAAAGAAATTAATTGGCCAACTAAAAATATATAGAAAAAATTAGCCAGGCAGAGCAGTGCATGCCTGTAGTCCCAGCTACCCGGGAGGCTGAGGCAGGAGGATCGCTTGAGCCCAGGAGTTTTGAGGTTGCTGTGAGCTAGGCTGACGCCATGGCACTCACTCTAGCCAGGGCAACAGAGCCAGACTCTGTCTCAAAAAAAAAAAGACTATATTTGGAGCTGCTTTTTTTTTTCCTTTTCTTTTTAAGATTGAGTGGTACACTAATAAATGAGAATTTGAAATTAAAAAAACAAACAGCATTGGTGCTTTTTTGCTGTTTTTGGAAAAAGAAAAAGGCAGTATATGTGTAAAGGAAAGAAAGAAGGGACATGCACCAGCGCTCCTGGGAGGGGACACGCCGGGGAATGTTTGCTGTCCACGTTTGAACACTGTGTGATGGACACAGCACTTCTGCGGTCAGAAAAGACTCAATCAGAAATAAAAGGCACCATGCCCCACCGCGGGCACCCCGGCTCGTGCGTTCGCTGACTCACCAGGCCCCCTGCTCTGGCTCTGGCCACCAGGAGCCCGGACGACCAGCGCGAGAAGGGCCACGCAGCAGCGTGTGCTGTGGAAGGCCCCGGAGCCTTCCCAGATCCGACAGGTCATGGGTTTGGGGGCATTTGCAGATTCTGGAGGGGGAGACTGAAAGGAGTAAGAACTAACCCCCAAGCACAGGAGGAAAAGGAGCCTGAGTCCGAGGCCCGCCGAGTGCGATGGAAGGCCTAGCTCGGATAGCGATGGCACAAAGACCGCGCCCCAAAAGTAGGCGCAAACCAGACAGGCCCTTCCAGGGACTGTGGAGCAGCTGTGGGTCCTCTCCCTCCCTGAAATCAGACCGAGGGGACTCACCTAGGCCTCAAATTTTTCTACAAACAATTGTATCATTGCTAAACCTGGCACACAATCATAAATAGCCAGGTACACAGAGAAAAATATGAATAAAAATGAGAAAGAGAGAGAAAGAAAGATGAGAGAGAAAAACAGACAACAAGGCAACAGGAACTACAGATATGAGACTTTCAAATGCCTCATTTACTATGTTCAAGGAGATGAAAGACTAAATTGAGAATTTTGGCAGATAACTGAAATTTTAAAAAATCGAACTAAAAAATTCCAGAACTAAAAAATACAAGTGCAATTAACAACAGAATGGATAGCTTTAACCACACATTAAAAACAGCTGAAGATGGCCGGGCGCTGTGGCTCACGCCTGTAATCCTAGCTCTTGGGAGGCCGAGCGGGCGGATTGCTCAAGGTCAGGAGTTCAAAACCAGCCTGAGCAAGAGCAAGACCCGTCCTCTACTAATAAATGAAGAATTAATTGGCAACTGATTATATACTAAAAATTAGCCGGGCATGGTGGCGCATGCCTGTAGTCCCAGCTACCCGGGAGGCTGAGGCAGAAGGATCACTCGAGCCCAGGAGTTTGAGGTTGCTGTGAGCTAGGCTGACGCCACGGCACTTACTCTAGCCTGGACAACAAAGTGAGACTCTGTCTCAAAAAAAAAAAAAAACAGCTGAAGACAACCCCATAATATGCTGAAATTAAAAAAATAAATTAAAAAAACAACAACAACAGCTGAAGAGTCTATGGCCATACCACCTTGAACGCACCAGATGTCGCCTGATCTCAGAAGCGAAGCAAGGTCAGGCCTGGTTAGTGCCTGGATGGGGGACCTCGTGCAGTAGGCTTTTGCCTCTTCTTGGCTGGGCAGGCGTGGTGGCTCACGCCTGTAATCCTAGCACTCTGGAAAGCAGAGGTGGGAGGATCACTTGAGCTTAGGAGTTTGAGACCTGCCAGAGTAAAACTGAGACCCTGTCTGTATAAAAAACAGAAAAATTAGCTGGGTGTGGTGGGGTGTGCCTGTAGTCCCAGGAGGACTGCTTGAGCCCAGGAGTTTGAGGTTGCAGGGAGCTATGATGACACCACTGCACTCTAGCAGGGGTGACAGACAAGGCTCTGTCTCAAAAAAAAAAGAAAGAAAAGAAACAGCTGAAAAGAGAATTAATGAACTCAAGGCTAGTCAGATAAAAATATCCAGAATGAAGCAATGAAGCCGAGAGAACAATAAAATGATAGGTATAGAACTGCAATAAGAGACAGAAGAAAGAGTGAGAGAGTCTAAGACACATGTTTGGAATTCCAGGATTGAGATGCAAAAGAAAGGGCAAAGGAGTATTTAACGAGATATCTAAGCACTTACTAAAAACTGATTCAGGCTGGGCACAGTGGCTCACGCCTGTAATCCAAGCACTTTGGGAGGGCTAGGCGGGTGGATTGTTTGAGCTCACGAGTTTGAGACCAGCCTGAGCAAGAAGGAGACCCCCGTCTCTACTAAAAAAATTAGAAAGAAATTAGATGGACAACTAAAAAATATATATATACATATTTTTATATATATATATATAATATATATATACACACACACACACACATATTAAAAAAAATTAGCTGGGCATGGTGGCTTGCCTACAGGAACATTATCCCAGCTACCCGGGAGACTGAGGCAGTATGATTGCTTAAGCCCAGGAGTTTGAAGTTGCTGTGAGCTAGGCTGACGCCACGGCACTCTGGACTAGGCAACAGAGTAAGATTCTATCTCTAAAAAAAAAAAAATAAACTATCATGTGTAATTTAAAGCACAAAGAATAACGATAAATGACAACAATGGGCAAATGGAGTCAACATGTTCTAACATCCTTACCTTGTTGAGAAAGAAGGTGAACATCAACATTAGACTTTGGTGAAATACAAATGCATGTTTTAAACTCTAGGGCAACCACTTAATTTAAAAATTGAGAAGAGAGCATATAACTTTCAAACCAACAGAAGAGGAAAAAATAGGATAGTAAGAATAAACCAACCCAAAGGAAGTCAAGACTAGAGAGAAAAATGAACAGAGAACAGGTGATACACATAGAAGTAAAATAGTAAGAAAGTAGGTTAAAACCAGATGCATTAATAATTTTATTAAGTGTAAATGAACTAAATGCTAATAAAAAAACCAAAACCTAACCTAGGATTTCTTTGTGTTATTTCTTACAACTGTATGTGAATCTACAATTATCTCAAAATAAAAAGTATAATTTAAAAAGTAAATAAAGAATCAAAGACTTAAACTTAAGAGCTAAAACTATGAAACTCCTTGAAGAAAACAGACAAAAATCTTCATGACACTGGATTTGGCAATGATTTTTTAGATATGACACCAAAAGCACAGACCAAAAAAAAAGATAAACTGGACTTCACCAAATTAAAAACTTTTGTGCATCAAAAAACATTGTCAAGAGGGGGGAGGGAAGGGAATAGCAATGTATGTAACTTTAACATTTGTACCCCCACATTATGCTGAAATTTAAAAAAAAGGAAAAAAAGGCCGGGCGCGGTGGCTCACGCCTATAATCCTAGCACTCTGGGAGGCCAAGGTGGGTAGATTGCTGAAGGTCAGGAGTTCGAAACCAGCCTGAGCAAGAGCAAGACCCCGTCTCTACTATAAATACAAAGAAATTAATTGGCCAACTA